TACAGAACAACACATTATACACGATAAATGTAATGTATTACTATTGATGTTGTTGTTACATTTCTTTAGGTCATTAATACAGATGAGGCTACATCTACTACGGTCAAGAAAGGCCGAAAGATATGTTAAAAGAAATGACGTCAAGCAAACGAGAAAATGAAAAAGGCAAAAGTAAAGTATAAAAGTTAAAGTGACTATGACTACTTACATTAGTATTAACATACCAATTTTTTTCAGGGTATTTAGAAATTAACTGTTTCAATCAAAGAATAGATTTTCGTTATATTGTTATACTTGATTTATTGAGGCTGGTCTTTGATAAGAACACATTTGTTATGTATGCATGACCCATTGGAGAAGGGCAAGGACAACCTTGTCTCAGCGGCTTTCTCTATAGCCGGGATACCATCTACCAATTCCAGGTGTAAAATGGACTGTAAATATACAAGTATGCAAAATGTAATTTCTGAGCATGCATATCTACCAAACAGTCACAAAAGCAAAGTAATGACAATCTGGAGATAAACATCGGACAAACGACACTTTAAACGATCTTTTGTGTAGTACAGAACTTACGAGGTTTTTGTTTGAATATCATTGATTGCCTGTCAGATTGACATTGATATTCTTGACCCATTTATTTATTGAATTGTTTCATGCGCGAATAATTCCATTGAGGTGTAATAATTCTCATTTTGTTTTGTTTTACTTTAATAATAGCTACATACACTACATTATTTACATTATGGAAAAGGTACATAACTTAACAGCATTATTTGATAGATTTAGAAATTACATGTAAAGGAAATGTATTTTATGAAATGAACACTTTTAGAGACAGAATTCGTCTACCAATTGTAATTGTGTGTTTACTTAATGTAATTTGAATCTGTTTGTTGCAGCTCAAAATCGCACATTTAAGAAGAATACTTAAAAAGGAATATAAAGAAATACAAAAGACAAATACTTCCAAATGCAAATAGAAATAGAATGTAAATCATAGTTACTATAATACTATCAGAAATACCGGACTTAAAGATATAGGTTTCCTTGTAGAATACTTGTTTTTCAATGTCAGCCTAGACAACTACTGTATAAGGCTGGTTAGTCAGTGACCGAGTATAATGCGTGCACACATATAACATAAAAAAATCATAATCCCTTTATTAACTGATATTTCGATTTATTGATCAATTATATACATGATTAATTACTGATTTAATAATCTTTTATTCTATTATTATTCTCACTTTAACCCAGGACCAAGCTCCCGTACAGTACATTAAAACAAATTTAAATACAAACATATTAATCATTATATACATTTATCAGAAGAAAGGAAAGCAAATGGCGGAGGAAAGATAAAACAAAATCGTTACCTATTTTAATGAAACTTTAAGAAGAGTAATTGCACGTGCTAAATGCTCGATACAAGGTCAAGGTAAAGTAAACACGAAAAAGTTGCCTATGAGAGATAAAGGCATAAACAGAAAGACAGGGAAATACCGCTGTAAAATAAACTCAGTTGAAATTTTTATGAAAAAACATTATATTGATAATGTGCGACTGTTAAAATGAAGCGATAAAGTTAACGCTGTTCAATAATGTTATTTATAAAATTTCCATGATGACGTAAAAATAATATATATTTAATAATGCAAAAAAATGCACTTTATTTATACATGAAACACATAACTATAGCGATTTAGATATGTAAAGGACGACAAACGACCCAACCCGTAAGCCCCAGGGTACGTGTATACGTCTCTTGTCATTTTGACTTCAATGTAGATTAAAGATGCATGTCAATGTATACATGCTACGATTACTTATTATGTCATTGTACAGTGGTCGACTGGGATATTCCTTATTGTATGACGTTGTCAGCTTCATTTTATAATAAATCTGTTCAACATTTACAGTACGCTTTGTCTGGCGTACTAATGTGATATATTTGATATGACATCAATTTTCTCCACGGTTGTCACATAATCAATAACAAGGTTATTTGGATGACACAGAAGTCCGATTCATAACCTTAGATTGACAGTTTTGCCCAAAGGCACTATACCGTCTAGACCTATAAAGAGTAACACAATCATTCAATATGTTGCAATACTTGCATAAAACCTTCATGTCATTTGTCAATAAACATATACAATAACTATTCTACTGTACAATAGTAATTAACAATAGTATAGTTTCACATAACATTTTTTTCCAAATATGCAAATTCGATTTTAGTACTTAACGATATACATTTTTTCTGATTCAGCGACTTGCGACCCGCAAGACAACAAAAACTTAAAATCGAAGTAAACTAGGTTGATACTGTTCTCAATGTTAGCAATCTCGTGTATTATGTTTTTTAATTTCCCACGTCAACATTCACAATGACGTTCCTCAAACAATTTCACGGGTTTTGGTTTTAGTCTTACACCAGAAATTAGCAATAGTATTAGCGAATGCTGTGCCTGAAAGACTTTGTGTTCGAGTAAACGTATTGCTTACTAGTTCAAAAAAAAAAAAAAAAAAAAACTTTTCCTCTACCACAACTACAACTTGAATAATTCACGCTTCTTCACGCATCATTATATTACCGAAATCTGTTAAATTAATTAGTATTATCATAATGTTCAACGAGACTACAGTCAACAGTAAAAACTTACTAATGCAGTTAAATATCGATATTTTGCTTTGTTGTAAATTATTTTTAAAAACAGTTTGATACTTAAATGTCATTCGTTTAAAAAATTGAGAAAACGGGCTTATACATCCGCAATTATACTAAATAGATGATTCTTATGCTATAAAACTAAGCAGCATAACATATAAGATACCATAACATAATATAGCATATTAAGCATGCATGAAGATACAATTTTAAACACCATGTATCATGTTTTACCTGATGCACAAACACCATTTTCTGAATTATATCATGATATTTCTTTATAGATAGCAAATTGATTGAGGCTTACCTATATATTCTTTTAAACGGTTTTATATTTTGTTTTGGTTTTGCAATTGATCTTTAATTTTAAAATTCTTCATCAGAATATTATATCCTATGATATAGCTATGACCTAGTTTTGTCATTTAGACCGACTTAATCACTTTTGTCTTAATTGTGGCAATGCAATGTACATGTCCAACATAAATGCATGCTTCTATCGTTGCAGAACAAAGTTTAAAATATAAAAAAAAATGATTGCAAAATATAACAATTTCAGCGAATATATCTTATTGACATTATTTGACGCAAGGGGGACACTGCTCATCTTAGTCCATTGTCCCATTACTATCTTGTTGTGTCGTGTTGTCTTCTTTCTACTAATGCTGTGTAGCACAGGAATTGATAGTAAACAAAATCTACTCACATCAAAATGAACTATCAACGAACCGCTTGGCCACATATCAACAAAAAATGTGGTGTCAAACGTTTGTGATGTTGAGAGGCTGTTACCGATTAACTACTTTCTTCGTGACATTTATCGCCCTGTACATTTTCTGTGTATAATGCCAGAAATCTGTATTTATATCATTGTCCGCTAGCTACGTACGAATCCTCGACAGTGCATAACATAATTTACTGCTTCAAAATTGGTGATGTAATTTCCGCATATAACTGGTTTGTTTAAAAAAATCCGTAAAATCCCTAAACACATACTCATAAACTGCTTTCCTGCCAATGCAGTACGTCAGCGTTATATTATCTGAGTTTAATTTCAAATGTATAAACACAAGGTCTTACAACACAAAACATTATAGGTAAGGGGGTGTACGAAAATTATTATTACATATTTATCATTTAGGTTCCTAAACTACGAATGGCTGGAATGGCTGAAATGGCTGTCTGGATATAATTTAATTCTTCTTCTGCTGGTTTGGTGATTAATTCAGCAACAAGAACGTTACTGTACTTCAACTTAAATACCCTATGTACTGCTGCTTTGTAAATGATGGAAAGGTATAAGATAAGAACGAATGTATGAAATATAGAAAATGAAGAAGAATACACACAAGAGCGAAAAGCAAAACATGTCCCGTACTGAGTTCATCGATATCTGTTCTGATAGTTTAGATGCAGACATCTAGGTGAATAAATATATTAAACTTTAAAATTAGAATAATGGTATTGAGTGGAAAGTCCTAGGTTGTCATTGTTCTCTTATAAGAGCAAGCGATATAAAAAAATGCATTAGAAAGAAATTAAAAGTATGTTGTAAGCAGAAATTCCTTATATTTCATTAATTTGTAAACAGTTGCCACTATTTCAGCTTTTCACTGAAAGGAGTATGTGTTATCGAGAACACGTGTATGATATAAATGGAAATTCATAGTTTGAATTGCATTTATTATTGTTAAATAAAATATATCTTGTTTACACACTTAGTGTTTAAGCGGTTAATTGGTATATATCAATCACCTAACCAAAAACTTACTTTTTGAGTGTATATTATTGATACATGAAGATATCAAACAATGATACCGAAGCTGGTCTTAAAATTTAAGGAAACAAAATATTAGATTAGTTCCCCCTAAAACGAATTGTCTGGTTATGTTTACGAATAATTTGTACACGGCGTTTACCTCATTAGAGGTCAGGGTTCATTGTCTTGCCATATGTTGTTTCAGGGATGATTGTGGAATGTTTCTTTCTCACGAAATATTTTCGCATTTTTTCATTAAATAACAAGTTACAGATAAATCACAGATACATAGAAACTGTTACAGAGTTGCACTATACATTTGATAAATATTTGTCCTAAATGCCAACACAAATTAATTGCTATGACATGTCATATGGTTTTACGGAATGGCTATGATGTTGGCAGGGTCACGAAGTTTGTCATAGCCGCGAGCACAGCACAGAACATGCCTATCGCAAGACACAAAGCGTAGCATAGTCACGTGATAGACACCATTAATAACATAAGTTCTCCATTGTCTCGAGCTCATTTGCATATTGGAGTGCCTGTGCCTATATATGCCGAGTCGACGTGCAGAAAGGACAGACTGCCCAGCAACTTCCAGCTCTACACTAGACTTCCGAATCGCACCGGTGTTTTACCTCTTGGATTAGGCTGCTAGTACCGTTTACCAAGTAAGTACACTTTCTATAATGTAGAGAAATTAACATACTATTTGATATTGCTGGAACATTCTGTTGTGTTTTTATCGCAAGGATTTCCTTTTCTGTGGAAACATCATAAGTTTGTATATCTTCGCTTGCTATTGTGGTTTTAGTGACTAGTTTTAGATTTCGTGCATTATTTGTATTTATATACAGCATTGCAGAAGATTTGTTTTTCTAGTAAGCATACGTAAATACATTTTTTTTGCTGGATCTTTACTTCAAAAAATATATATTTATGTATCTTCATTATTCCCATTGGATTTATTTGTTATTTACTTAAACAATGTGCCTTGCTACATTTATATTTATATCGAAATACATTATATTTTATTACCGACATACATTTTTATCATTCCATTTGTGTTATAGCAGATAGTTAAACAATTTAATACACACCGTTGTCTATTAACTATATCAAGTAATGTTTATATGAAAGTTATAGGCTAAAAAGATATTAAATACTTCGAGAATGTATTCTGTTGTAAATGCATATCAAAAGCACTTTTAACTATATGTTCCTAACAATTGTAAGTAGGTAATCGAACCCATAGAGGTTATCAACCTGTAGTTAAATTTTATTCATAACATCCAGATAAACGTCTTTTGGATGATCTCATACCATAAAAATATATTTATAAAACAAACGATTGTTGAATATTGCACTATTTTACGGCCCATCGAACCCTTAAAACAGACGTTCTAAAAAGGAAAACATTAAACTAAACCATAGAACAAAATGCGTAAAAGATGCAAAAAATTAACAATAGCAAACAAATTGGTTGTAAAATACATATCTTATTGTAACGATTGGACAAGTGTAAATAATCTTATATACAGGCTCAGAATCTGTATCAGTCAAGCTGTTGATAGTTGGTATACTACAAAAATTATTACGCATTTGTTTGAACTTTGACCGAGGAAAGAACATGTACCAACGCTGCGTTTTTCCTTTTTAGTGTATAAATAATTTTACTGATATGCTTTATAAATTGTTTTGCAAATTTGTTTCTTATGAAACTATTAATAAGTTTATAAAACGCAATTAATCAACATTATACTTTAACATTTCAAACTATAAATATATAAGTATAATTCTAAGGATAAAAACAAAAATAAAAAACACATGCAAAATTCAATCGTATATATCATATATTAAAATGTATAATAATAACATAGCGATAAATAGTTTTAAATATAAAACTGTGTATAAAACAAAACACGAAGACTATAATTCACCCTTTTTGCCCATCTTGAAATCGCCGGAACAGCCCCAATATGGGCGAAAGTGCTAGCAAATTAGTCTTGGTGTTTTGTATAATATATTATATCATAAATTTATATTGACATGTAACAAGATAATAATTCAGTTCAAATCTCAGAAATTTTATTTACGAAAAGACCTTTTCTTCTCTCGATGTTTTGTGAATTACTTAATAATTCACCTCAGTTGTCGGAATGTTAGTAATAACAATTAACAATGTGACAAATAAAGACATATCATGTTGTTTAATATTATCTTTTCATGTGTATTCGTCTTCTCTTTCAGACCAAATAAAGACAATGAATTCATACATTGCCATCGCCCTCGTGCTGTGTGTAGCCGTTGCTCAAGTACATTCACAAGGTAGGTGTCGCCGAGCATGCGCAATGCTCAACTTATACAATGGGCGTGGTTTAACATCTTTATAGCATGCTTCTTTCTAGTTCGTAAAAAATATCTAGCATAGTTTATTCATATGTGCGCTAATAGTATATTAGAAATATATAAATTTCGTTCGAAAACCATGGAAATGTCGTTAATGAATGCATGCATTACATATATTCCATGTAGTTTTTCTGTTAAAGAATAATTTCAATTACGAGGTAGGATTCAATAATAAAAACACGCATATGTATGCCTGTTTTTATTAAATATGACTGTAGACGACAATATTCATCTGATATGCCACACTATTGATAGGATAAACTGCATATATATGGCATGTGTAATCTGTTGTCATCCCGCATGAGTGATTGAGACAGACGGAATGAGGCCAATTTCCGTGAAAACAAGAGCGCTGCAATTACCTGGATATTTTCTACCTGTTAAAAAGTGATGCATTCTGGGACGGCGGCCGAACTGACAGTGGTAGTTGACAGGCGATAAAGTTACACGGTCAGCGCTGACAAAGATTATGATTCTTCCACTCATAAATGAACACGGTACCTCTTAATCTGTCATCTTGAGTGACGTGCAGCAGTATCCCTGGGTCTATTTGGGTCATCTATTCTTTTAGGTATAGCCTGCAGGTCTACTGGATCCGTTAGAAGTTCACCTTTTTATCTATGATAAGTCAACTCGTCAAAGTCCGCAAAGCAAAGATTTTCTTTATACTCCTGCAGCTAGGCAAACGAATGTATTGTTCATGAAATGTAGAAATATCTGTACCATAGTAATTTAGACTTAGTAAGGAATGATGAGATATATAATGCTTATGCAAATAATGTTTTTTTCTCATTTTCCTTTTTTAAATATAAACATTATTAGATTATACTATATATAGTAACTATACTCATTTAAAGTAGTATAGATTATTAGTTAGACAAAATCATATAACCGATAACGTTAATATTGATAATTTCAAGCACATTTTTAACAGAAATGTAATGATTTATGAAGGAAAATTGTTTCATTTGTTCATGTTTTTAACTTAAAAAGTATGAAAATTAATTTAAATTCAAATAACCAACTATTATATTTCAAATTTTGTTTGTTTCATTTAAACATAGATTAACTACAAAATGCGGCAACAGTTATACAAAATTTAAGTTTTGTTTATTTTATTTAAAAATAATTAGATACCAAAAATAAGGCATCAAAAGACGAAACAAATCAAATTAAGAGTTCATATGCGTAGAAAGTCAGATAACTCGTTGGTACAGAGTAATACATAGTTTGTCCTGGATGAATTTCAGGGAGCGTGGCTGTGCCTCGAAGATATGCAACAGCAACTTTGTCGGCCGCGCGTGGTCGAGTTCAAGGGTCATCCGCCAGATTTCCTATTCTGATAATGGGCAATGATAATTGGTTGGAGATGCTGATGTACCTTCAAATGCTTAGAGGGTCACAACAAAGTGCTTACGGTGGCATCAACCTTGTTGACCTGATGCTCCTTGACACTATAGGGGATCTTTGAAGTCGTGCGCAATTCTTATCGCCTGCTTACCTGTCATGTTCGCTGCCTATAATATTCCAAGAATCGCCAGTATCATTATTTAATGTTGCAATAAAAAGTTGCAAATGTCAATTCAACGTGGTATCACTTCAGATGTATATTTCTCTAAGCAGTTAACTTTTTTTTAACACCATACCAATTTCTTCTAACTAATCTTTTTATTTTTGGTTTTAAGGCAATTAATATTGATTAAAGCTTGTATCCTTCTGTATATATATATTACATATATGTTATGATATATTTCGATAACGCTTAATGTTCTTACGTATTAAACGCAGACAGTATAGCTTTGCGTAAATTGAACAATATATTTGCTATGCACGAGTATAACCATTTATATTATTAACATGAAATGTGTATTGCACGGTACACCCCCCATTAGTACTTCCTTTGCTTTTAATCTTTTGCCTTTTCCCCCCAACAAACTAATCATGCAAAAAGGGCAGAATACTTGTTAGGCGACAAACCTCAGTTAGGACAGTATTGTTTTCCGTATTCGGAAAATTATGTTTGCAATAAATGAATTATTCCAGGTGCACAGCCAACAACAGGCGGCGCGTCAGCAGGCAGGGGTGCAGCAGGCTCAGGAGGCCTTTTTGGAAATGGTGGAATGCTGCCATTAATGGCAGCCAACTCCGGAAATGACATGATGCAAAATTTATTCCTTTTCCGTATGCTGTCCCAAAACAACCGTCGTGCCGGCGGTGCCATGGGTGGTTTGGAGCCACTTCTCATGAGCAACCTCCTCGGAATGGAACTCTTTGGAATGTAGACTATGATATGAACTTTGTCCGATCTTAAGACAACCCTGTGACTGGTGATAGTTCCTTTGTACATCGTGTCGCGTAATAGACAATCAAATTAACCTGCAAAAAGGCCACAAGAAAGTGTGCGATCCGTTAGTGTTCCTCGTCCATTTGTCTGTCCATATCATTCTTGTTCGCATAGTATTTATTTTCATGTGAAGTGTGTCCAGTTGTTCAGAATCATTGTTTATGTTAAATAAATGCCTTTTTGTATCTAAATATTGCCTGACGTTTGCCTGCTTTATTAGTGCTTGCTTTTACTCATGAACATATTGATATCAATTTATCCATTTAAACCAAATACTAACATCAATCTGCATCAGTTGAAGTTGTTATAGGTGTTTTTAGCTTATGCTTAAATTACAAACTTGTTAGATGTGGTAGTTTGATATAATCGATTTCTTCGTTAACTCTTTTATTAATTTAATGTTTGTATATATGTAGCATGACTAAAACACCAATGGCAACACATCAACATTCATGGTAAACATAATTACGCATTATTACTTCCAATGATGCCATTTTAATGAATCAACATTATGTGAATTCTGCCAAGGTACCGATGATTATTTACACACAAGCTAGTCTTAATGTAGTGAAGTGTAAAGCATGTAATGCAAATTGTTAAACGGTAGCTGACTTACAAATATATACTAATAACTAATTTTAAAGATCTTAAAGATTATTGATTTCATTGTTAGTAAACATGCAGTCAAGAAACCAAAATAGCATATATTTCGTGGAGCAATTAATTCGTTTTGTAATTATATTTAATATTATTGTGCACACAATGTTTACAATATTTGATATTGAAAACAAAATGACAAGTCATTACATAATGCGGAAAGATATAAATCATAGGTACATTTTCATGTAGGAAACAGTTTAACGAGTTGTGTGCTGACGGAACTAAGAACATAAATGGTTGAGATTTTGTTTTGATAAAAAATAGGGATTATCTTTGCCATATAACATAAAACTTGCTACAACATTTGATGTTGCATTGGAACATATCGAAACGACTGATAGCATAAACATGAAATGCATTACAGCATGAGTCTCATCACGCAATCAACATCTGCTTTGCAAATGCCAACGTCACTGATGTATGTGTACACGTCAATGCTTTTGCTATGCTTATATGTATATGTGTGTATGCCTCTGTATCCTGCAGCTACACGTTCTGGCACTGCATCCCCTGGCAGATCAGGCCAAAACGCCGCTCTGATGGCCGCTCTGTCCAGCATGGGAAATAGAGGCGGAGGCGGCATGGGCAGCACTCTCCCGTTGATGGCTATGATGAACGGCAATGACAACCTCAGGGGCATGGTTTTATACAATCTTTTAATGAGGCAAGGAGGTGGTCGTGGAGGTCAAATGGGTTCTCTCGGAAACTTGATGATGTTAAGCGCCATGGGTGAAGGATTTATGTAAATACTTTCTTTCCTGTTAATAGAAATAATGTGTTGACACCATGCGCTTTACTCATCGATTACTTTTTTCAGTTTGTATGTATATATTGTTTGTACATGTATGTGTTTGTGCTGTCGTAAAAAAAATGATTAAAATGTAAACGGATGTTGTAAATTTTGCTTCTTGCTTGTTTTATTTTATGTGTTTGCTGCAACCATGACACCTCTATGCATGTATATTTGCTTTGCTTTCTTAATGTAATTTGTCTCGTTCCAACGGCAGCTGAAATTGGCCATCATCCTGCATAACGCATAACATGAAACGTTTGCTGTATGTATAAATTCAAGGTTTTCGCAGACACATTGGTATATCGAATAATTATTCTTTAACTGATTTTTTTCCACGCGCAAATATTACGAAAGCTTGTATCCATGAAATACCATGTAATCGTAAAACCTCGACAAAAAGTGCTCACAAACGTTTCATGTTGTACAATATATGACGTTTAAAAAAATAAGTGTTGAATCATATTCCAGTCCATTCTATGAGCGGATCCAATTTTATTATTTTGCTTTGTTTTCATAAAATGTGCTAGCATCATTAGCCGCCTTGTAAGTTTGCAAAGTACTAAGTTTTACAATTATTGTAAAAAGTTTGCCATGTATTTCATATCATCAAAATAGTCTAAGCGACTTCAATACTAAGCGACTATTCTAAAGCATACGTTAAACGTATGACGCGATGGACGTTCTGTTCAGTATCAACTTGAATCGTGAAGATTTTAAAAAGTATAACGGAACTGGTTTAAAAAAAAAGATGAAAGGAATCACACTTTAACTCACTATTTAGCACTATCTGGTTTCTTCATAAAACACAAATCGGCGCTTTAGAAGTATAGGCTACCGGAATAAAAACAACATCACCAGGAATCAATGAACCGCAATGAAGTTGACAGCTGGTTAAGGAATACCCGTTCCACCAACGGCAGCAAGGACAACCTGGTCTATTATTGTTATGTAAGGTAACTTACAGCAACAAAATCGTTCATGTGTTTTCAGACTAGCAATCACAGCATAGCATATGATCATGAGAGGCATGTACGATCAAAGATATATTGTGTATAAATTAATCCAGCTTAATACATTAATTTTGCTTCAAACAGAATGTCATATATTCGTAAATATGTTGTTGAATTAATCCATATATATTTTGTTTACAGATTGTATAATATGTCTTTTAAAAATATAATTCGAAGATTGAAATAATATATAGAAAATATATTTAAAAATATCGGCTCACATAAAAGAGATTATGTTTACATGCTGTATAACGTAACATAGACTGACATCAAACACATATTTCAGTGATAACCGTAACGCATTGTTTTTATTTATTATAATTAATTTATCTATTTTCTGTTTTTGCATTACATGACATCATAATAAAACACACATATCATTTTTTGGCCTATCAATAAACACTTTACAAAAAGAACGATTGACATATACTAAACGAGCTTTAGATTAGATAAGAAATAGTTTCTTTAAAACAATTGAGCTTTAGATATGAAATAATTATTTTCAATAAAATACAGGTTCGGTAAGAACATATGCCATAAGAAAATGTCAAGATACGTATAAATTGTAGATAATTTAATCTTGCATGTAACACGCATTTTCATTGGCTTAAACATACATTTTTTCAGCCCATACCATTAAAAAAATGGCGTCGCCGTTTGTAACGTCGCTTTTGATTGTCTGATACAGCGGCGTAATAATTTCTAAGAGAAAAAAGTCCATCAATACAAGTGGATTTCCACAGAGATTGTGTATAGTATATTAAGTTAGAAGGATTGACTTGAATATATTTCTTATGTTATGGAGCTATAACACAAAAAAACCGGAATGTACTCTTATCACAAACCGCTCCGCGGTTAATTTAGAGTACACTCCGTTTTTTTTGTGTTATGACTCCATAACATGAAAAATATATTAAAATTAATCCTTAAATAATCGTTAATCGATTAATTTGGCTAAAGGATAACTGTTTAATATTTTACTTAAGTTGATGTTAAAAAACAAAACTATAAATGGCAACGTAATATATTTATAATTAAAATTCAAACAGAACAGAAGCAGATATTCGAGAGGTTAGACAATTATTTGTAGTAGCGGGCTCGGAAAATAGAAAAAAACACGTAGACTACGTAACAACCATAGGAATAGCATTATCTGCTTTTGAAACGTAAGGAGTCTTTTAATTGGTATTTGTAAAAGGATTGCATTCCATTGAACTTGAATGAAACTTTGATGTTGGCCTTTCTAATTCCGATATTTAACTACCAACATGATGGTTTTCAGCGAACAGGCCATCACATTGAAGGAATTAAATCAATGTATGGATGAAACTCACTCAGATTATTCTAAACATAGCAATGATAAAGAGGAATGAATAAGATCCATATAATAAATAAATATCAATTACTTTGAAATTAAAAAGTACATATGATTACCTTTTAACATGAAATTCCAAATGGATTCATTAGGTATATCATGACAATTATACATGATGAGTTAAAAATGCTAAAAGAAATATTTCAAGATATCAGAACTATTTATACACTTGTTATTATTTTCAAAACAAAAGCAGATCTTTAACATTTTTTCAACAATAAAGAGATAACACACCAACAAGAATTATATATCTGGAGGAAAACAAATCCCCGAATCGTGTTTTAAACTGTTGCTTTAGAAGAATACATAGTATAAATTCGAATTGAATACATAGTATAAATTCGAATTTTAATTGGATTTTTCTGATAGATATTCATTTTTTTTATGTTTTCGTTACTTTTAATTTTAGTTTAAAAAAGTTTGTTTCTCTACAGATACCTTTAACATCAATTTTCTAGATTGCTTTTTATAAATAAGACAAAAAATAAAAATGCTTACTTGAAGTAAAGCTTTACAAAATGCATTTACCTATACTGAAATACAATAAAAGTATACTAACATGTAAACAAAACTATAATGCAATCCAAAATCAATTAAACTTAACATGAACAAAGGAAACATTACATAGAGACCATTCACAGGTTCAATAAATGTAATTCTATATTTAAAAAATAAATTCTGTTAAAATCACAATTTAACGTTTATAGAACTGCATAACAGCCTATTAGGTTCCGTTTGAGTCATAAAAACGCACGTTAACCACAATATATTATCTGTGGCAGCACACAGAATGAAACGTTATGCAAATAAAAAAAGGGATCAACTTTCAAAATCAATGTATAAATATACATCAAACATTTCTAATTTTGACACGAACCTTCAATTAAAATTTCCTATACTAAACGCATTTCTGTTCAACTTAGCATATAAAAAGAACGATTTCAGTAATGTCTTGATAAACATGTGCATTTTAAATGAATCTTTCCTGGTGTAAGTATCCTTTAAAAGGATAAACGTCATATAATACTATCGGTTCTTAGTTTTTTGTTAACCAAATATTGTGTCAACATTACTGACACGGAGAAGAACAATATGATATGATACGTAAACTGTTGATTGTATATCGACTAAAATCATCTGATAAAAACACATTTAATTGTCTCTACGTAGTCCTATCCCAACAAGTTATCGATTTTATATATATTACAAACTCTATTTACGTGACAGACATCATGTGCTGTTGAAAGTTGGACTTATAATGCAATATATAACTTTTTCGAGCGAGGGCGATTCAAAATCCCGCGAGATGTCCACGTGACTTGACGTTATGCGTTGAAGTTTAGAAGCGCGCTGGTTTACAATTTGTGGTAAGTAGCAATGTTTCCTGATTATATACATTACACACATTAGTATATAAATCATGTCTTACACATTTGTTTTATCTCTACGAGCCACAATGGACGGTTTACAGATAAAAATGTATTAAGACTTAAGAAAATAGCTTAAAATAAAATATATTTTTTTTTTTTATTATTTTTGTATATTTAATTTGTAAGCATGATCTGAAAAATGAGAATAAATAGAATTAAGACAAATAAATGCGAAAAGTGGTGTGTATGCCGGGATATATTGCTACCTTATTTCTTTTTTAATTTACACTGAAAATTTCGAAACTTCGCGACCAATCCAAGCGTGTTTCCCGGTATACATGCTACTTCATAAAAATAGTAAATTAAACAAAAATAAAATCCTAATGTTCATATGATATATTATTAAAATAATAAATATACTGAAAGATATACATGTACTTTGCTTATCGTTATGATTTTTTTGTTAAATTACCTCCCCTTTGTACCTAAGATTTTTAAATACATCAATTCTATTATATGTTTGAAAGGCGTTGTCAATCGTTAAAATCAGCCATTAAATCAAATATAGCAAACAACACATGTACTGTAATAATGACGTGCGTGTATATATATAAAGACATTCATTAGTTTCAATAGGGCCACCAGTTATATTTTCACACAAAAGAATCGTATACTTTTGATGACGTGAATACGATCGATTTAAGAGGTTCAATTTTTGTCTGTTAAATGATATTAGAATTGCTACCAGCAATAAGTTCCACTAAATGTATTCAATTAAGTCTTAACTGAACAAACTCTTCAAATTGTTTTGTGATATCAAATAGTAACATGCTGAAGATAGATACAATTCTAGAATAGAATCAGAATATTAATATTGCACAACAAATAAATAATCCATTTACGTATTCTGTAAAAAGCATATTTTGATTTGTTAATTTTTTGCATTACATTGAAATATACCTTCCAAAAGACAAAAGATTTACAGTATTTATATGTATGTTACACATTGAAACATAAATGCGCGACGTCCTAGACAACACAAATATGGGTGTAAATGACGAATACATTAGATATACTGAAACTTCAAATGATGAATACATTAGATATACTGAAACTTCAAATTAACATTATAGTAAATATGTTGGCATTCGATTTTTGTTTACAAAATGCCATAGCAATAAAAACAAATCTGATAAAATGAACTGAACAGTCCAACCAAAATAAGTAAAATAAAATAAAATGTAATTTAATATTAATCAATCTCAAATAAATCATATGTCAACCATGCAACGAGATAGTTTCATTCACAGTCTTCTCGGAAAGAAAATTTGTCAGAATTCTTAAACAAAACCTTTACCCTTTTTATCCATCTAACCTATCTTTTTTCGTTATCAAACAAAGAAACTGTCATTTGTTAATATTTGATTTTAATTCATAGTAAATAAGAACAGAAACCTGAGAAGAAACCATTACCTTCTGTAACTTTAATGAAATATTATAAAGATGAAAAACAAATAAAAATAATGAAAAACTTTTTCAGATCAGTTTGTAATCAGTCTTCCATAGTTTCTCACAGTTTTTGTACGTTTGTTCGTTACAGCAGCCGTTGGTAACACCCCGCCATCTGGTGCCGGCATGATTGATCTGATGAATATGATGAAGAATCGAGGCGGTAAGGGGATGCCGATGGGTATGCCGATGGGCATGCCGCCAATGGGAATGAGTATGGGAATGCCCGGCCAAAACTCGCTGTTTTCAGCTCGACCTAAAATGGGTGGTGCCCTCCCGTTTATCATGAAGATGAGAATGCTGGACGCTATGGGAATCGAAAATCCTCTTTTAATGATGAATATGTTAGGTGGTGGTATGGGAGGACTTGGGGCAATGAGTGGTATGGGACCCACACCAAGAGGAATAGGAGGAATGATGAGCGGTATGCCGAGCGGTATGCCGAGCAGTATGCCGGCCGGTATGCAAGGAAGTGGACCAATGCCATTGATGGGCGGCGCCAAAAATGGGGGCGGTAATAACTTCATGAACAAAATGCTTCAGATGAGGATGCTTGCAAGCATGGACCTATTGTGATCTATTTGTATTTGAAATTTCTTATTGAAAATGTTTATAACAATTCTTCGTCGACATGACTTTCCACTTAAAACACACAATGAGACTAAAAAAGGAAAGTATTTATAGGTATGCTAGAAAGTGACGTAGAGGCTCCAACATTACCCATCTCACAATTTTGTTAATTGCCTGTACAGAAAACATATAATCTGCATAGGATTAATAGCAAAATGAAAGTTTGTATAGTGTATCAATACTGAAACAATGTCTGCCGCATAACTTTTTGTGATTTCGTCTTTCGCTATGAAAAAGCAAAAGTCCACAAATCAACCCAACTGTGTATAAAGAGTTACAACCAAATAATGAAACTTATATAGAGGCAGTATATATTTACATAAATGAGACTATTAACACAAATTATGAGATGGGCATATTTGCTTAGTCGTATTGCCTTGTGAGTGCTTTTAAATAAAACTAAAACAAATAATTGATTTTCTGTTTTGCTTTACCGACTTTTCATCTGCGATGAATATTTGATTATGTGATATACGATGTCATATTATAAACATTCCCGCCTTCTCTGTTCTTTTGGGCTAACTTGTAAGGGTTATTTGCTATCCCTAATGAAACATTTACATGGCCAGGCTTTTCTATCGCAGTTGCTATAAATCGTATATCGTCCTCGCCAATACCTCCTAACAATGTGATAACAGCCTGCTGTAAATAACGGAATATTTAACGTTCTTCTTTCCTATGTAAAATGAAAATCATGACGACTGCCGTCTATTTTGATATGGTATATTATGTTTCTTTTTTACGTTTACACGAGAACGTACATCGAAATCTACTTATATGAATTAATCAACATTTACACGGATTTTGTTTTCTTTCTTTGATTTGGTTAAATCATATGATATGACCTATATATTTGCTCGCAATCTTCTTTCATTTTGATTGAGCAAGTTCTTTTTTATCAATATATACCATGTTTCTGTCTTTATACAAAAAAGGCAAGAGCCCACCAGAATGATTTCAAAGATTAATGTCTGCGTGATGTGCAAGGCTTTCAATGAAAGCAATTGTAGTCAGTAGCTTTGCTATTAGACTTAGTCTTTATTTTGCTTTTTGTCAGTAGAACAGCAGAATGCCGCATATCCGACAGTCGAATCTTCTAAATACATATCAACACTATTTCAGGCGTAAATACATTTGGAATAAAAGCAAAAAATAGACTTGTGTATTATAAAAAATGTTTCATTTTATGATGATAACATCCATACGATGACTGCTAGCATGTCATTATATAACTACGAGATCATATAACAGGTTATTTTATGGTTTTGTTTGAAAAGAAAACAGATTTCACGTGTGCGACAGTCACTATACTGATATATATGATATATATCGAGCAGTAAACCACAGTTATCGTTTGCCGATATATTGATGTAAATCACCTCGAAAACGTTGAAAATCTTTGCGGTCAAGATCATATTTAACTACAAGACCGCACATGGTTTACAAGAAAGAAAGAAATACTGATACCATGTAAACTTAAAATGTAAAATTATTTATTCATCAGGTTTCCGAAAGCCCACTTAACTAAAGGAATTTAAAGATGGGTTTGATGTTCAAGATTGTAGGAAGCAATATCTCTTTCAACAACAAGTATTCACTGTTCCCTAACCTCTTCTGACATGCGGCAATCTATTGAATGTACAACTAGGATTAAAGACAAACATATTCGTCTAGCGTCTTTCATCATCTGCATGAACTCCAGTGTTAGCAGTTTTAGCAAAGACATTTCACACCACTTAACCCTGTAGTATACGCTTATTTATTTCCTCCACATATCATTTTTGTATATCTATGTTTACGCATGTATATAAATTACTTATATACAATATAAAATCATGCACTTTTCAACGAACTGCTTTCTATCCCCTTAAGTCAATCATTTATATTATATTTTCATACTAATTCATATCCTTTTCCATAATACTTTTCCTTTCATACTCTTTGACAAATAACCATGTTTCAGTGTCTACTTTAACCATCTCGAAATATTTATCTCTTGTTATCATATAAGCAATCCATTATAATACTATACTTTATGTATTAATATTTCTTTATCATAAATATATACTTATACACTTTTTGTATTTCTTTTTATACATATATTTATATATTCACATCGATATATCCACATTAACATGCTCAATTTTCCCCAGGTGGTGGACAGCCTGAACAACGGATTTTAAACAACAACAACAACAATAAGAAATCTATGTGGGGAAAACAAAAAATCCCACAAGCGCCATCATCTGCAAACTCTGCGTATGGTTTTGCTTCAATGTTTAATAACCCAGTTGCAGTGTCGATGTTTTTGTCAGGAAATATGCCCGACACTCTTCAGGAAGTGATACAAATGAATATGGCGGGAAACCTTTTAGGAGGCAGAGGCATGGGTCAAGGCATTGGCTTCCGGCAGTTGGCCGCTCTTTCCTTCTTGGAGGGATTATCAAAATGAGGTAAACATATTCATTGTAATTCTTGCGGTATAATTACGCGAGTAAACTACTATTAATAGAATCTGTGCATATGAATATTTTCATACCGTTAAATTTAATGTTTCACACACGATGGAGTACATGTAAGCGTTTAGTTCCGAAGACCTATCTGATACATGTTCATACATATATAATACAACACCATTCAAACAAAAAATTGTACATTAGTCCTACATGCAAATTTGTTCCTAAACGGTTTATTTGATTTTAATTTAACCAGTATCCACAAATATCATCCCTTTTTTGAATGTGTTTGTAAATCTCTGTTTAAATAATCTGCATATACATTTGATTTCAGTAGCAAAATTATCTGTCATAAAAAAGTATGCACTTCCTGTTGTTAATATGAAAGATCAGAAAAATATGATATATTTCATATTTTCTTCTGCAGAAGAGACGATATCACACCAGGGACATCGCGTCTTTAGGAAGAAGCGATCCACCAATGTCAATAACATGCGTATCCTATCAATGTTTTCTTTTCAATTTTTAACACAACTGTGAAGAAATTGTGAACTGTCAACCTATATATATCAAATAGATTCTATTTGTCATACCGGTGAAATGTAAAGGTTCTTTGTCACTGTTGTTGCAAAAACATACCTCATTTGATGTGTTTGGTGACTGGAAAGGGAACAGTCATATCAATATATGTTACTGTGTTTTTACACTGTTTTCATTCAAAATAACATAAAAGTTAAATCAAATTCGCGTCAGCTGGTCAAATGTCAAATAATACGAAAAATTCATAAGTTTTATTTTTTAATTAGGGAAATATTATACTTTCATACCTACAGACAGAAACATGGATGTCATTATGGTATACAAAGTGTATACAAACCATACCCAAATAATTACCATTCCGTAACAGTATTTTCTATCAATATTAGGCTAAATGTTAAGACCATGAATTTACTTCATTTATTGTGGATGGTTAACTACTTTATTTATAAAATATTTTAACGTCTAAACTTTTAAAATGTGCAAGACTTCTGTTCAGTCTTAAATGTAAATGCTCAAATACATGTATGTTTATTTCTCATATAGTTTCCTTGTGTTGAAAAATTGAATTTTACATCGAAAAACATGAATTGTGTTATGCATAATATTACGCCTCCCAAGCGACTTAGTGACTTTTCCCAGAAAAATTCCTTTCTATCATCCGTTCCAGTTTTTAGTCGCACCGCACTCCGTGAAAAAAATGTTAGAGAAACGTTCGACAGACTACAGATGTCCGCGAGGAGATGAGATGTTTTTCTCGCCTTTCTAGTGACCTTTTTACGTCTGGGACGTATAAAAGACTGTCACTTCTTCACTTTAGCGACCTCTTTGTGTATTTGTAGTTGTTTACGGCGATCTACGGTAATAAAGAAAATATCAACAGAGAGGTGTATTCGTCTTCAATTTCCATAACATTGCCGTGGAAGCGTTACACTTAAGCAGCGTGTTCGAATTTGTCTCTTTATCATGTTAAGGAAATTATTTCAGGTTTGTGAAAATAACAATACGGAATATGTAAGATATCTATGATATCATTTATACTTCATTACGTTAATAGGAGACCAAAACACGCTACTTTTGTTATTTGCTGCATGAATGTATTTACAACTATAAAATGTATTTATGATTTCGAATATACATATATTACAAAGCATGTTGAGAAGACGTATACTATCCAGCATGTAAATTCATGACACGATGCCTTATCTGTAATCGCGTTGGAAGAAGATCCTGATCGAATTTTTACGACCTGAGGTAACATTATACAATTATATTTCCCTTTTAGCTATTTACTTATTTACAAGTACGGTGTTGTAGATTCGTACATGCTTTTGTTGACTTTTCTAGATATGTTGTAGATTAAATATCTTTATCTGATACTCTAACCAGTGATTGAGAATGTAATAAAACCTTTCCCAGCCAAAACAAATTTTGATAATAAATGGTTATGCATGTTTTTTTTTATATTATGTGATATTGAATATATCATATTTTCTATTATGAAATGAAATTGTATTAATATAGGACAGGTATCGTGTTCCGAATGGAACTTATCGTGGATAAATTTACTTATTAATATGTCTATAGAAGCATGTTCTACCTTTAAGAAAGTATAAACAAAATCAAAAAAATACAAATTATAACAACGCAAACAATGTCAGTTACCTTTTAAATGAGGCGGTGAATGATCAATAGAGAAAATAATATCTAGTCCTTACGGTGGGTTGTGTTAGGAAGGAACTCTCTTCCACAGTGTGGATATGATGAGTCCTATATTAATGCACTACACTTTTTATTTTGATAAGGAGGTACTCAAGGTGGGTTGATGAAGCCCGCCGGTGCTCCCGGTGTAGGAAACGCAGGTGCGATGCCAACTCGACCTAACCCAATGATGGCAGGTATGGCACCATGGCTGATGATGAGCGGAAACGACATGATGCGAGATATGATGAGATGGAACATGATGATGAGAGGCCTTGGTCCAATGATGGGAGGCATGGGAGGTATGGGAGGCACGGGAGGCAATGCCCTGCAAAGATTGATGTACTTCAATGCTCTTACTGGAAATGATATGGGATTCGGAATGTTTTAGTAAGTTCAAGATACACTGATGTCATATGCGAATGAAATTGATAATGTTTTCCTACAGCGTTACTAAGAAAAGTAAATATAAATACCATAAAACGCATCTTTGTACTTTAATAAAATTTATTAAAAAATAATCATGTATTTTTTCCTACTGGCACCAATTGAAATAACCATGTGCTGTCTTGATAACAATAACGCGTATTTGTTCATATTTTCCGTAGCAGAATAATATATTTGCTATCTGAAATATTATAACATCTACATAGGTGCGTAAAAACGTTAATCACCTAGAGTTTAATGAAAGTTTTGACAGGTAATATATTTGTATTACCAGTGTCACTTTATCAAATACATTGAAGGCGACATTTGCCATATAATAAGAGATATCACATATTAAATTTTCTTTCCAGAATCCAGTTCCAATGACACCAAGCATACACGTGTGAATTGAATCTCAAGAAGAAAGGTGTTGCGGTTATTCTGTCACGGAGTTCGGATGGCTCTCGTTATGTTTTATGATACTTGGAGCAACAAAGAAAATGGAAAATTTCAATGAAACGTTTCTTTCTTTTTTTCTTAATCCATAATTCTTTCGACGAGTGCTAACATACACATGTAGGGTGTTGAGCTATTCATGTAAGGATAGAACAATGGTGTCTGTTTCGATAATACTAGTTTAAGCTGTGAATACACGCATGACTCAGAAACTATTCTGATGAGCTGATATTCATTTTCTATAACACTTTTCTATTACATGTATTATTTGTGATATACCTCATTCATAACAAAGTTTTTATTTCTTTTCTTTTTTTTCAAAAGTGATTTTTTGTGTTTTGTCTTTTTTTCAAAAAAAAAAAGATTTTTTTTCAATAAATCGAATAACTGAACGGCGTCTACAAGAATGAATGTAAAATATGAAATACAAGATATAATTTTCCATGGCAAAATTTGCGTACAATTAGCTCGTTTTGAGTTTTTCTGGCGTCGCATTATTCATTCATTGATTGTATGTACATTTTTTATATGTTAAAGTATATTTTTCTTCTTTAATAAAATGTCTTCAGAAAATGTATCATGTCTTTATTTGTTATCAGAGGGACAGATTGAACATATTTCTGTCAAAATTTCTTGTCATTAATAACATGATTCGTTTACAAGAAATACGATTTAATCAACATCAAAATAAAGGGTTTTAACTGAATTAAGTCAACTATAATATGCCAAACTATATATTTTGATCTTAGATGGTACAGCGCTCTCGCAGCTGATAATTGAAAATGCGCCAAAAATAGCGAGCCTAGTTCTAACTCGTAAAATGTAATAAAAAAAGATCCACAAAAACGAAATTTAACAAAGAATAATATGAAGACTTTATTTGAATTTAAAACATGAAAGTACATTATTTTATACATACATATTGCCATGTGAAATAAAACAAATGCGATAACTTGGATTTGAAAAGTCGCTAAAAATAGCAATTATTTGGATGGTCGTTAAATTATTAGCATAACTGTTACAATAATTCTTGGCCCTGAAATTGAAATTATGCCTCTACGAAAGCACCTTATTTTGATTTCATACCAGATAACCGATATGTCAAATTGTAACCATGGCAACTGCTACTCTCTGTCTTACATTATCGTCACCTTTTGGCAATACATTATAGGCGTATTTGTCAATCTATTAACACAATCCTGGTTTTTTTTTAATTCTGAAGGGATGTTTGAAGAGTGAAATGTGTAGATTTTCTAACGACAACATGTCCAAAACACAAGATGAAAGTAACTTTGTTCGAATGGAAAATCAGAAAATATTTCTTGTTAGCAAGACATTATCTGTAACACTGGGTGTACTTATATTTTGAAGACAAATCCCGAAAGTAATATTTCCTAAATTTTAATCGATCGAGGAAAAACAAAAAACTATTTTGAGCAGCCAAAACATAAAATACAAGTTCACGATTGTATGTTACGATAAAAATATCACACATAAATGTTTTGAGTTATACATTGACGATAAAATACCAGCAGATAAAAATGTAGAAATTTAAATAATTTTGCCATTTATTAACTGCTGTGATGAAGTTTGATACATTTCTCAAAAAAGAGACGAGCATTTAATGTTTACTAGTAGTAAATAATTCCTAAAAATAATAAAGCAAACAGGAAGGATAAGCAGACCCTTAAATAGTATGTCTACAAAGATAATAATGTGAATATGATATATTATTTAAACATATACAGCAGACACATCCATGCTAGTCCCTGGATTTCTCAAAGTTTAACTATAATCATGACAAACAAATATATATATATATATTTAGCAACAACACAGACGATTTAATAGCAAGTCGATCAGTCATTCTGATAATATCTTGCGGATAACTTGATACTATAAGCTATCGTTAAATTCAAATTTACACATTTTTAACGTTGTCTTAAAGAGAAATCGAATCTAAAAAGTTCTGGTCTCATGTATTTAAGATTTTGCCAGCGCAATTGAACAAATGATATACAGAAAGCATGTTCACAATACTAAAATAAAATTGATTGAACAGTATTGCATTGGCAATACGCTTTACAGAATGCTTCAGCTAAATATATTATTTAATATTTTGTCAGGCTCGTGTATGGAATATATGAAATATCTTATTCTTACTATTGTCATATTCAGTAACTATAATACATAACATCATATCCTGTTATGCATTACTTGGTTAATCATCCAAAGTTATCACGCATCAATGACTTACGAACTCCTTTGTATAAAGTCATTGGTCTAAATGTCCAAGTTTTGTGTCGGTAGAGACACGTGTAGCTTTGTTTTGGTGTGAAAAGTCACAATCCTGACCTTTGTCAACATCATATGGAGCTGTTATTAATTTGCGATCCACGCCTCGCTGATGATTCCAGTGTGACTCCAGGAAACAGAAGGGCGTCTTATGAAGGTCCATGTATGTATTTTCCTTATCCACACTTGCGTCTTTTGTGATAATATTTCATTTGGAACCAACGACGCATAATCAGATTACGTGGTTTCAGTTCTGAGATACTAAAATCTGGAACGCCCGGCACGACATTGTTCAACATCATACCGTAATGGATATCGTCACATCCGGGACTCGCGGCGAACGATCATACCGCGCAGAAGCGGAACTACATTGCCATTGGATATTGGAACGGCAGATGAGCGACGATTCTGAAAACAAAGACATTTTGGTAAAGATGTGTTAAATCTTCTGCAATCAAAACAGATGATAAATACACTAATTTATTATGTATTCACCATAAACGACCTTTAAAGACTAGTGTATGAACAAAGCTATTTAAGATAAACAATATTTTCGATTTACCTATTTAAAATACAATACAATACGATGCATTAAGAGAATATTTGATTTGTATTAAAACATGTAAACATTTGTTAAACTTAATATGAATACTTGGATAAAGATTTGACTTGCTAAAAATTAACATATATGGAACAAACGATATAGATAATTGATACATTAGTCTTAAACATGTTTTCTCCCAAAAACTAAACAAGGTTTATTAAACAAATAGCAATATAACCTTTAACCAGTTATTATGTATCACTTATCATAACCCATAAAATATTGTGCCAAGTATGATTGAAAAATTGCATTCAGCAGTGCAAAAACTCTAAATTAGCATATACAATTTAAAACGTAGGATCTAAACTAAATAAGTAATTAAAACAAAACCATCCATCAATTAATCATATCTAACTCGACAGAACAACGATGCATTCACGAAATAAACAGAATAAGAAAAACTGAGTGACTGTAAAAGTATGACAAAGGAATTATGGAATTTAATAGGATATATTTCTTGCAATTGAAACTCCTTAAAATCTTTTTTTTTTTTTTTTTTTTTTATATATCAGAGAACTTCTTAAGCTAATGTCCTATTAGTTTCTATAACAAACTTCCTGAATTTTCTAGTTTTTTTTCAAATGACATGACATGACGGGTTAAGCTAAATTATGATGAATAGCATACTAAACAAAAATGAAAGGGCGTTATTTTATTCTTGTAAAATATATTGGACGGTCGGAGAAACATATCAACGGAAAGCATATATACGAAAGATGTGAATTTGTTAACGATTCAACTTAATTGCAATTCACTTTTTAAACTGGTATGTATCTCCATTCCCCATTCACGGATTTTCGTGATTACTTCGAAATCCAACCCTGTCTCTGTGCGTTAAAGCTACGGGTTAGAACTATCTCAGTACTTCTTTTTGGCGTTAAATCTATGGTTAAGTATTTTAATAATTCCAAATGGTTTCATTGTACCAATAAAGAACTATGACACTTAATTATGCTTTTAAACGCTTCTTTAGGCAATATCACTAGATATTTAGCAACACTACCACTCGCAAATTACAATTGATTTTAAAGAATGTTCTTTGAATAGTTGTGAAATTGAATATACATGTATATCGACAAGGAGGAATTCGAGGCAATATTGCATATCTTGGTGCTGCTAGGTCACTAGCAAATAAGGTCTTGCATGTATCTGGTTGGTTGTCAACACTACACCGGGGGGTGTGTATTCTATTTTCTCATACAGCATCTTTGTTTAACCAATGTAGTTAGGACATACATGGTTGTTTTAAAATATTATGTAATATATATAGGAACTTAAATAAGTTTTCATTTCATATGAGATTTTATGAAACGAGTCTAAGGAGCTTTTACTTTTGCGAGCCTTGGCGAGCAAAAACTAAAACTTCGAGACGAGTTTCATAAAAGCTCATATGAAATGAAAACAAATTTAAGACACTTTTTGTCACATAACTCAGAAAACGTACATTTTGACAGATTTTAAAGCCAAAATGTAGAGGGCTTAATCAAACGGCGCCATTCACAATGTATGACGTCACGTCATAGTCCATATTATGACGTCACATTTGTTTCTGATTGGCACAGCCAATGAAAAATGCTCGAGGGTATATTACACTTGTGACATACGTAAAAATATTACACGGGCGAATTCAATGGATGACAGGCCGATTATGTGATAAAATGTTATATTTTTCATTCGCTGACAGGCCCCGCACATCGGTCAATTATATATGCTATACTCAGAGATTTTTGATAAACTATATATATCAAAAAGTATAGACACTTGAAAAAGCCCTTAACGTCCAGGCACTCCGATCTCTACACAATTTCATTGCAACACAAGCATCTATTTTTGATGGCAGAGACTAATAACGGACTTTTTACTTTTAAGAATAAGCTATGATATTTGCCATAGAAAAATGTTGACTTTGGTTAGTGCCTTGGTAGAGAAATTCTTTGGTCAACCCAGGGCGTGTTTTATAGTATAATGCCTTTTTAAATATAACGACGTCGCAGTAAGTTTCCCTGTAATAAAAATATATTCAGGTCCGTAGGTGCTGACGTTTGAAGGGATACTACCTGGTTTACTGTTGTGTTTGGGACTTCCGTAATAGACGTAAAGACGGAGAATGAGCGGCTGAGACGTCTAAAACTGGCCGATTGTACCACTCTGCTATGTCGGTATCTCTCCCAGCGCTTTCGTAGTGTTAATTGTACCTAGGTAATGAACATGCAACATAGCTATCAGGCCAAATAAACAAATATCTACTGAATAACACACGGGATAGAAAAGTAGTTTTGCATGACACTTGAAGCTACTACGAACATTCCTGAAGGGCATAAAAACAAGAGGATGGCTACCTTCATTGAGCAGAACAAAAAAGGCAAGGTTTGGTTTGATCGTTAAACTAATTATTTAAATATAAATTTAAATACATTTTTTGATTGCATACAATAAAGATAAAAAAAAGCAGAAAAATGAGTGTTACTTATTTTTCCCGTCTTTGTTTAACTGACAGCAAATAAAGCACTCAACTAAAGTCACTTACATGTATATAGAACCAAGAATTTGTTTCCCTATCATTAGTTCTAATTTTATTTTTTTATTAATGTTTTCCGACCAAGAAAAGCAAATGGCTGAATGTCGTAACTAGTTACCAAACAACCTGTAATGTCATTGGTTTTACAAGCAATTATTTTAGACGATGGGCATTTAAGCCTAAAATAATTCTTTTCGTTTTAATAAAGTAATAAGAAAAAAAAATACTTTTCTTTTGAACATACTGATACGTGGATAATATGCATAAACAATGGGTTATTTACAGTTTTGTGCATTTATGTTTAGTTCATCTTTACGAAACATGGCGGAGATAATGGTTTATTGAACCAATCGCTTGGTATACTTATTATCTACATTCGTTATTGTGAGGCCCATTATAAGTTAATAGTCGGCTTCCAGGATTTTGCAACCAAATGGTTTGGGAGGCGTTTTATAAAAAAAAAAAAGAGGAGGGGAGGTTAATACCTGGGAGAAAGGTAACTATCTAACAAATATTAGTATGAAAAAGGAACTAAGAAAACCTGAAACGCAAGTAGGTTCACAACATTCAAAAAGACCGTTCGCTGTGCATTGCAGTTTTGTTCGCGACAAGATAGCTACAAGCATGCGCAAAACTACTTTTCGTATACCTTGTCCAGCCGGGGCGGTGGGTGGACCCTTATAGACGTGAGAGAGGTGTCCCACCGCACAGACGACTTCATGCATAAATGTTTCCTTAAAGTGTCTTGTACCTGAGCAAAATAATCACTCTGATAATGCAACACTTTTATACATGTATATGTCTTTTATAAGCTGGTGTTATGCATAAATGTTTTCTTAAAATGTTTTGTAATTTAGAGAAACAATAACTGTGCTTGCATACGACATCAATGTCTATAGTAGATTAAAAAAATGGAACATCAAATAATAAATATTTGTTTAACAATAAATTTAAACCTGACTGGTGGAAAGTATGAAAGTACATTCATTTCTTTAGATTTTTTTGCAGAACTTCTTGCTATTTGGACGGGTTTTATTAAATATTAGTATAACTTCCCGGCCCAAAGTTTAGATAAAGAAGTTTTGTATATGAAATCCTTTTCTCTTATCATTTGCTAGTTTTGTTCAAACGCTCGTTATAATTTAAGACAAATTACACATGATAAGACATGTCGTTGATATTTTTTTTTATCATTGCAAATTATACTACGCTGACATGAGTTTCATTAAGATGTCTTGACGAACGCAATTTAATGGCACCATTGCAGAAATCGACTGGATTTTTCGGTTGCTCAAATATGGACGAACAAAGGGAAGAATATCTTCACCTAATTATCCCCAATTGTAGATACAATATGTCTCAACCACGTTTGCGTTCAAAAGACGAAATTGTTTTCCGTTAGGGAACAATTTTTACATAGAAGAAATAGCTTGATGTATCCTTTTCTTATGTACTTCAACAATTCATATGTCATATCGCAATTACAAAAGTAAGCCGTTTAGAATTACATATCTGGATAATATCATCATTTCATAGAAATTTTTATTTCATCTATTTCGATAAAAGTATTGAAAATAATAATATTTCGACATTAACTGATATCATTTGCAAATTATATACCTTTTTTATTTCTTTGAAATGCGAACTGACATGGCATAAACATGACTGTAGCTGATAGTACGCAGGCAAATGCGCCGAGTCCTTTTACATCAAGTCTATTTATGGATCAAAGATATTGACGTGGACGCAAATACTTATCATTATTGCTGCAAACGCAAAGCACATAATCTATAACGCAGTTACCTCCCCGTTGAGAAAGCAGTATAGCAATGATATAAGGAATCCTTGGAATGACACGAGGAAATAAGTTGTGTACGACCAGATCCCGAATTTGGTGACGTTATCTGCAGGGGGATCAGTCATGACGACGAAGTTTGTGATACCAAGCAACGGCAGAAGTACTAACGCCGCCTTCACCGCCTTTCTGCAACACAAGCGTAAAGATACAATTATGTGATGAAGATCGCACTTGACAACGGGTAAACTTGAACATTTAGCTTTATTCAAATGTTAGTTTGTTGAAATATGATGACAAAATTGTCCTTAATCCACCATAGCAGATTTAAACAAAAAGAAGAGACTTCACATGTAACTGTACAAAACGTTTACTTCACATACAATAAATTGCCAGGATACCAGACATGTATTCATTCTACTTGGTAGAAGATACAGGTCCTACAGTTATGTATGTTATTAATACAGGAGTGAAATTAACAAACCACTTGAACATATCAGCGGTATAATGTGTTACTACAAATAATTTGTTTAGTTGATGATGTTGATAATTGTGGAAAAAGCTACCATAATGAGGTATATTGTTGATAATATTGATTATGTATTAAGTATATTGTGTTTTAAATATATAAATAGAGGTGTCAAACTTTCATGAAAATATATTAAGTGCTGTCTATAGATATGTTGAGTCTAGTCAAACTTTTATCATACCGTAGTGAGGGTCTCTATGACGTCAGATTCGTGTTAAATGTGTATCTATGTGTCCCCTTCTTAAGAGAAAGTAGATATAGCAGTTATTGCAGCAGTATTTGCTGCATCGATAATTCAGATAAGAATTTGTGAAGGAGACTGAGTATTTTGACAGAGTAACAGTCTGATGGTAAAAGGGAAAGAGCGGTTTGTAAGATCCGACAGTGTGTCGATAAAGGCGTCTGGATAGTTTTTTGACATGAGAGTGCGTCGGTAGAGTCAGAGGTCAACACATATACAGGAGAAAGCTCAGGTATAAAAAGCATATTTGATTTTGCAAATTATCCTTAAACCATATTTCGTCAACGGCATAAGAACAACAATGATATTTGATGAGATGTTAGCCAAGGAGCGATGTTTTATTTGAATTGCCTCCCTTGGAGCGATCAAGCAATGAATTGACAATTCCTGCTAGATTTTCCTGCATTTCAATTACTTGTTCTTTGAGCAATATAGTTGTCCTAACCTGACTTAGCTCACTTACCTGACGCTTTCATTACCTGTTCACCTGAATTTGCTATTGTCCTCATGTGACCATAGATTTGTGTTCTTACCTAACAGTAATCACTTGTCTGTACCTTACTATTGATACCCGTTTTCAATACCTTGCCCTTACCCGACTTTAATCTTTCTTTACCTGACATTAGTTACTTGTCCTTGCCTAACGATTTGTCTTCCCTCACTTCATTTACTTGTCCTAACCAGATTAACATGATTGTCATTTCCTAAACCTAGTTACGTATCCTTACCTGACCTAAGCTACTTGTGTCCTTTCGCTACTTATTTACTAAACTTTACGCATACCTAATTTAGGGTACTTGTCCTGATGTCAGTTACTGGTCCTTTTCGGATTTCATCCTTACTCGACTTTTGAAATGCTAATTATCTATTTAAAGCTACGTATCCTTACTTGACTTAAGTAACTAGTCCTTATCTAATTAAAGCTACGTGTCCTTACCTGACCTAAGTTACTAGTCCTTATCTAATTAAAACAACGTATCCTTACTTGATCTAAGATACTTGTCAGGAAACAGTTCCTGACTTATTTAATCAACCTTACCAGACTTTCAAGACTTGTCCTTACCTGATAACAGCTACGTATCCTTACTTGACTTAGTTACGTTACGTTGTCCTTACCTGACTTTCGTTACTTGTCCTTACCTGAATATAGCTACGTATCCTTACTTAACCTAAGTTACGTTAAGTTGTCCTTACCTGACTTTCGTTTCTTGTCCTTACCTGAATATAGCTACGTATCCTTACTTGATTTAAGTTACGTTTAGTTGTCCTTACCAGACTTTGGTGACATGTCCTTACCTGAATATAGCTACGTATCCTTACTCGTCTTTAGTTACGTTGAGTTGTCCTTACCAGACTTTCGTTCCTTGTCCTTACCTGATTTTAGTTACGTTTCCTTACTTGACTTAAATTACATGTACGTTTAGTTGTCCTTACCAGACTTTCGTTTCTTGTCCTTACTTGACTTTCGTTTCTTGTCCTTACCTGAATATAACTACGTATCCTTACTTGATTTAAGTTACGTTTAGTTGTCCTTACCTGACGTTTGTTACTTGTCCTTACCAGAATATAGCTACGTATCCTTACTTGACTTTAGTTACGTTTAGTTGTCCTGACTTGACTTCCGTTTCTTGTCCTGACTTGACTTCCGTTTCTTGTCCTTACCTGAATATAGCTATATATCCTTACTTGACTTAAGTTACGTTTAGTTCCGTTACTTGTCATTACCTGAATATAGCTATGCATCCTTACTTGACTTAAGTTACGTTTAGTTGTCCTTACCTGACTTTTGTTACTTGTCATTACCTGAATATAGCTATGCATCCTTACTTGACTTTAGTTACGTTTAGTTGTCCTTACCTGACGTTTTTTACTTGTCCTTACCTGAATATAGCTACGTATCGGCTTTTGTTACTTGTCCTTACCTGAATATAACTACGTATCCTTACTTGACTTTAGTTACGTTTAGTATTCCTTACCTGACTTTTGTTACTTGTCCTTACCTGAATATATCTACGAATCCTTACTTGATTTAAGTAACGTTTAGTTGTCTTACCTGACTTTTGTTACTTGTCCTTACCTGAATATATCTATGAATCCTTACTTGACTTTAGTTACGTTCAGTTGTCCTTACCTGACTTTTGTTACTTGTCCTTACCTGAATATATCTACGTATCCTTACTTGACTTAAGTTACGTTTAGTTGTCCTTTCTTGACCTCCGTTACTTGTCCTTACTTGACTTCCGTTTCTTGTCCTTACCCGGATATAGCTACGTATCCTTACTTGACTTAAGTTACGTTTAGTTGTCCTTTCTTGACATCCGTTTCTTGTTCTTACTTGACTTCCGTTTCTTGTCCTTACCCGGATATAGCTACGTATCCTTACTTGACTTTAGTTACGTTCAGTTGTCCTTACCTGACCATTGTTACTTGTCCTTACCTGAATATATCTACGTATCCTTACTTGATTTAAGTAACGTTTAGTTGTCCTTACCTGACCATTGTTACTTGTCCTTAACTGAATATAGCTACGTATCCTTACTTGACTTTAGTTACGTTCAGTTGTCCTTACCTGACTTTTGTTACTTGTCCTTACCTGAATATATCTACGTATCCTTACTTGACTTAAGTTCCGTTTAGTTGTCCTTACTTGACATCCGTTTCTTGTCCTTACTTGACTTCCGTTTCTTGTCCTTACCCGAATATAGCTACGTATCTTGATTTAAGTTACGTTTAGTTGTCCTTCCCAGACTTTCGTTTTCTTGTCCTTACCTGAATATATCTAAATATCCTTACTTGATTTAAGTAACGCTTAGTTGTCTTATCTAACTTTTGTTACTTGTCCTTTCCTGAATATATCTACGTATCCTTGCTTGATTTTAGTTACGTTTAGTTCTCCTTACCTGACTATTGTTACTTGTCCTTACATGAATATATCTACGTATCCTTACTTGTTTTTAGTAACGTTTAGTTGTCTTATCTAAACGTTGTCCTTACCTGACTTTCGTTACTTGTCCTTACCTGAATATGTCTACGTATCCTTTCTTGATTTTAGTTACGTTTAGTTCTCCTTCCCTGACTATTGTTAGTTGTCCTTACCCGAATATAGCTACGTATCCTTACTTGACTTTAGTTACGTTCAGTTGTCCTTACCTGACTTTTGTTACTTTTCCTTACCTGAATATATCTACGTATCCTTACTTGTTTTTAGTAACGTTTAGTTGTCTTATCTAAACGTTGTCCTTACCTGACTTTCGTTACTTGTCCTTACCTGAATATATCTACGTATCCTTACTTGATTTTAGTTACGTTTAGTTCTCCTTACCTGACTATTGTTAGTTGTCCTTACCTGAATATAGCTACGTATCCTTACTTGACTTAAGTTACGTTTAGTTGTCCTTACTTGACTTCCGTTTCTTGTCCTTACCCGAATATAGCTACGTATCCTTACTTGACTTAAGTTACGTTTAGTTGTCCTTACCAGACTTTCGTTTTCTTGTCCTTACCTGAATATATCTACGTATCCTTACTTGATTTAAGTAACGTTTAGTTGTCCTTACCTGACTATTGTTACTTGTCCTTACCTGAATATATCTACATATCCTTACTTGATTTAAGTAACGTTTAGTTGTCCTTACCTGACTTTCGTTTCTTGTCTATACCTGGATATATCTACGTATCCTTACTTGATTTAAGTAACGTTTAGTTGTCTTATCTAACTTTTGTTACTTGTCCTTACCTGAATATATCTACGTATCCTTACTTGATTTTAGTAACGTTTAGTTCTCCTTACCTGACTATTGTTACTTGTCCTTACCTGAATATAGCTACGTATCCTTACTTGACTTAAGTTACGTTTAGTTGTCCTTACTTGACTTCCGTTTCTTGTCCTTACCCGAATATAGCTACGTATCCTTACTTGACTAAGTTACGTTTAGTTGTCCTTACCAGACTTTCGTTTTCTTGTCCTTACCTGAATATAGCTACGTATCCTTACTTGATTTAAGTAATGTTTAGTTGTCTTACCTGACTTTTGTTACTTGTCCTTACCTGAATACATCTACGTATCCTTACTTGATTTAAGTAACGTTTAGTTGTTCTTACCTGACTTTCGTTTCTTGTCTATACCTGGATATATCTGCGTATCCTTACTTGATTTAAGTAACGTTTAGTTGTTCTTACCTGACTTTCGTTTCTTGTCTATACCTGGATATATCTACGTATCCTTACTTGATTTAAGTAACGTTTAGTTGTTCTTACCTGACTTTCGTTTCTTGTCTATACCTGGATATATCTACGTATACTTACTTGATTTAAGTAACGTTTAGTAGTCTTACCTGACTTTTGTTACTTGTCCTTACCTGAATATATCTACATATCCTTACTTGATTTAAGTAACGTTTAGTTGTCCTTACCTGACTATTGTTACTTATTCTTACCTGAATATAGCTACGTATCCTTACTTGACTTTAGTTACGTTCAGTTGTCCTTACCTGACTTTTGTTACTTGCGGTTCGTTAGTTTGACTGCGCCGAAGTTTGATCACAAGGACACGAATGATGTTTAGTAAAAACATTAAATTAATCTGAAAAGATGACGAACAACTATATCAAATTTCATATTCATAAAATCTAAAGCTGTCACGCATCGCTTTGACATCCTTGGTGGGTCAAGCGTTGCAGCCTTTATACTTAATCATGAATAGTAAATATGAGTTATATAACCAAGCTAATGTATTGACAATGCAGTTGCAACTTTCGGGTATTTTACTCTGACTTTTATCAGAAAACATGCAGTACAATTTAAAAATAAATCACATCATATTACGTATAATAGCTTCAAACTTTGATTACCAATCACATCTTTTAGACAACAGAAAATAAAATCATATGTTAAATAATTTGAGACAGTGTTGTCATATGTATTATGTACAACAAACACTTCTGTTTATTAGAACTTACCGCTATTACTGCGACTCTGGGAGCTTCTATTATCCAGTAATAAGGCAAGAAATAATATGGAAACCAACATCTGGAAAACAATTAAGTTATTGTCATTAAAATAATGACATCACACATAATTACATTTCATTTCAACATCTCTTTAATTCCTTGTGTGACAATATCATGCTTTTGTGTACTTTGACAAGACATCGAAACGAGGGAATTCTAATTATTGAGATCCAAAACAGGTTTAGAATTTGAGACCATTTATCGTAATTCAACTTCCTATCTTTATTGCAATGCACTATGTTTTGTAACTATAGCGCGTTTAAATAAACCAGATTAAAAGAAATAAGAATTGTGATTTACGCTCTTTGCTTGAAAAAGGAACCAAACTTTTTCGAAAGTTAGCAAAATAGGTTTTTCAATTCCTGTTTGCGCTCAACACAAATTTAGTCTTTATAATTCATACCAAATTGATGAATCTTTTTCCTAATGAGGGAAGGTGTGAGCTCTGAATGAGTACACAATGTTGTATATTGTCAACTGTTCTTGTAAACAGTTAATAAGTAAGGATACGTAGATATATTCAGGTAAGGACAAGTAACAAAAGTCAGGTAAGACAACTAAACGTTACTTACATCAAGTAAGGATACATAGATATATTCAGGTAAGGACAAGAAAACGAAAGTCTGGTAAGGACAACTAAACGTAATTTAAGTCAAGTAAGGATACGTAGCTATATTCGGGTAAGGACAAGAAACGGAAGTCAAGTAAGGACAAGTAACGGAGGTCAAGAAAGGACAACTAAACGTAACTTAAAATAATGAACATTGTGACCATTAAATAAACTATATCATTTTTTGGGGCAAACAATTCTATATGTTGCTTATTGGTGACACTAACCTGAAGCGTAATATTAATTTAAGATTATAATTTCATGTTAATTCAGTTCAGATTCGCATCAATATCTTATAAATTTGACCTGGTTTGCACATAAACGTATTACATATTTGCACATAAAGACTTTTTTTCTGGTCAAATTGGCAAAAGAAAAAGAAATGTAAAGGTTACCCGATTTTAAATAGAATTAAAGTTATATTGCAGATAGGATTTGGTCACAGGTGTTCTACAGTAACGGTTACACATTGTTCATATAGAAACGACGTGTTGCAAAACACTTCTGGCAACGTCATAAATATCCCTCTTTGCAAGAGATTGTCTCAAAACATCTAAATCTGCAACGAACTATAGTTTAAAGTGTTAATAAGTGATGTATGTTATAAAATATCGCCGATGTTTATTACCGGCTTGCCAATTAACTTATCAAAGCAGACAGACAATTTATATATGTATAAGAAGCCAAAAAAACAGAGACACGACTGAGAGATTAGATTGACCTTTTCAAATAATTGATCAACAATGTTTATCTGAAGAAGAATTTATCAGAGGGACAAAAAAAGACAACTAGGAATGTTTGATACACTGGACAGTTGGAAAGAGGATACTTTCCTATTTGTTTTCGGGGTTTAACAACCTCGCAACAGACAGTATCGTGTGCAAACGAGAGTCATGAGAGACACTGCTTGAAAGATATAGGTAAGAGAGAAAGAAATAACTAGGACAGAAATATAAAACGAAATAACCCTTATCTAAAATGTTACGATGGGTGCAGTTCGGTGTCTTCCATAATCCTTTACCAGAAAAAAACCCAGTTTCAAACTCTCGATTCTGCAGGGGTCAACACATACATTGTAGTGGGAAACATCAGGTGTATATATCTCACACATTCGGGGACGTTTAGGGGTTTCTGAACTCCAGTTTAAGTATTAATAAACGACTGCATTGCCTGTGCAATAAGCAAACCGATTTATCTAAGTTGCGACATGTGTATGCTCTAACAAATTTCAATTGGATGCTACTCGAGATGGGGAAACTACAGCATATTACGTTCAGACTGAAATTAATCGGCAATATTTTTTAAGTTTCAAATTATTTATGTATGACCATAAAAAATGGACCAGATTAACCAATCATCTTGACTTTTATTAAATCCCTTTTTTTTTTTTTGATATTACAATATAGCTTTTGATATTTATTTGATCGTCATGTTAGGGATACCTGACTAGCTGTGCGAGATATATGAATAGTATCACTGGGTTTGTCATAGAGCTTACCTGGCTGTGTGACTTAATGCCATTGTAGTTACCCAGCCTATCGTGAAAGGAAGCGGCACACCTGTCAAAGAGAAACCCATCATTAATTTGTCCTAAACAGACCACCGATTTTTTCATTTCAAGCCTAACGCCTGAATAAATGAAACTCAAAACACCTCACAGACGTCAAGAACAACGGGCAACTAAAATAGATTAAATTTCGAAATCGAATTATTAATGTATACGCTATAACCTATAATCCAGACCCATTTCCCATATTCACATGATGCTAGTTGTCCTTGGGACATGTACAAAATGTTATTTCCTGATCTAATCATAGTATGTTCATCGATGAATGGTGTTTCATATGTAAAACAATTAGGCTGTTGAGCTACTGTCTATACAGACAACTGTGAAATCACTAATGTTTTGTGGGGTTTTAATTCTTTGATTTCGTGAGCAATCTTCATCCAATAATTCAGCGGTCCACGATTTAATTACATTATACACAATTTTGATATAGAGCAACTCTCCGTTTAAGTGGGTACTCGTAATCCACGAATTCATGCACCGTGGACATGGTGTATTATCTGATAACCACAAAATTGTGGCCCCACGTAAATATATAATTTCACATTAACAAATAAAATAACGCTGGCCAGCTAACCACTGAGTAAACTTTGCTGCTTATATCGCTTATCGAGTACGTCAGCCTGTCTCAAACAACCGTTTAGCTCAATTAACCCTTGTGATAAAGATATTAAAGAGACTGTATGCGAAAGTCTGTTCAGAGAATTCTAATTTCTGTCGAAACAAGTATTACCTTACATACTGCTTGCGCTGCAATCTGTTACTTTAGGCAATTTAAGTATGATAGGTTAGTACGAGATTACAAAATTGGTAATTAAAGTTTTGAACAAGTTTTAAAGAAAGAAAGATTAGCCACCCTCCGATATTTCTGAAATTAATTGTGAGAGTTGATAAATCATTTACAGATTACGTAACTGTATGGAGGTGTTATGATGGAGCATATAATTAGGGAAAAGTCACGTTAACAAGGGTTTGTTCAACATTGTGGAGTCTGAGTGAAATAATTATAAAAATAACTCTCAAAACAGTTACTTATTTCTTAATAAGTGTGTAAATGTTGCATTTCACTCTGTCGTTTGACCTTTTTCATTCTCATCCATAGTACACTCTTAATTTAAAATGGATCTTACTTCATTCACCAGCACTGCAATACCGATGCATATAAAAAAAATTAAAAAAGTGTTTATACAATTACTGACGCAACGATCTGATTGTATAAAATCGTATATTCATAACGATACATGACCCTTGCATTACCGAGCAAAGTTTAGGTCAAAAGCCGAAAACGTTTGTTCATGCTTATTTTTTTTACATGTGTATTTAATTATTAATATGTATTTGTCTGGTTGCAGATTTGTGTACAAATGTGCAATTACTTACAAATGAACACTTATTTGCCTTGTAGCTGATGTTAGGAGCGATTTGTATTTAATTACATGTTAAAAAATTGTTCGTCTTGTAGCTGATTTTGTGTACAGATGTATATTAAATTACAAATTGAATAATTACAAACTGAACAAATATTTCCTTTGTAGCTGTTTTTTGTACAGATTTGTATTAAATAACAAATAAAAAGATTGTTCATGTATATATCATGTTACTCTAAAATGTTTTTGTTTGTTTGTTTTTTGTTTGATCGTGTTGGTGTGTTACTTACCCCAACCCATCAAATAAAATACGATGTAGTTAGGACGTCCCGAAAACACAGACACTGCGATCATATTGTGTAGATAGAGACCCTCAATCAGCATCCACATAAACTGTACTGTCTTCGTATACTCAATCATTGCATACAGGAACTCACAGAGCACCGGCTACAAAGAAGAAGTGGCGATACTGAATCATTTACCAAGTAAACGAAACGAAAAAGAGTTCACAGCAGTAATACTTGTACTACATGTCAGGAACAAGACTTTAATTATACGTTTACTTTCTTAATAATATTTCAAACGGTTTTGAAAGAATATTTGAAAAAATAAGAGTCGTTCTACTGATTCAAAGCTTATCCAAAGTTTATTTTTCTTATCAACCCTTAAATTGACAAAACTTCCACATAAGTCAGATTTTTATGGAAAGTTTTTGCTGGGGGTGTTTGATTTCCATATAGATTTCGTAAACAAATACAAAAGAGGAATGCTGGGAAATGGGAAACGGACAAAAGTGAAGTATATTCAACTATGAACAGTTTGCTTAATCACTCGTTTACATGAAATGTCAATGAAGCTGTCAGTTCTTAAGTATTAAATTGCTGGTAAACATTTATTATTGCATACTTAAAAAAGAACTGGAATTCTAACTACAGTGGCACTAACAAAAAATGTTAGACAAAGGAATTCAACTATTCAGATATTAATTAAACTTTAAAAAAAAATGCTTTCTACACGCATATCCTCTGCATAATAGTGTACATCAGCTAATGTAGAGACTCTTGCAGAAGCTTGAAGTATCTCTTTAACCTTGAATAAGGCCGATATTCTGCACCAAATACACCATTTGCTATATTCTCAATGTTTATAATTGCTTGTCAATGCAGAGATTCTTACTTATTTTACTAACAGAAGCCTATTGCTTCCACAGTTTCTACTATAAGACTCGGTACGACATTGTTTTGTAAATGTATAGGCACTGTAAAATACATAAGAAAGAAAAACATGTACTCAGAAATGCCTCCCCTGGATGTCAAAACAAAGGCCTCGTCTAGAGTATACAAAGACATTCATCACATTACCTGTGATAGACAGTGCTGACACAACGCAGACAAGACAATCATGCTTGGATGTCTGAGCGTGGATATCAATTGAGTAAAAACTTCCTCCACCAGTCGTTGGAAACGTAACAACCGAACATTGCTAAGACACTCTATATTTTTAGTAAATCTCACCATAGTCTTAGCCTCTAAGATAATATATCAACAATCTCATCACACGAATGCTACATTAACTGCCTTAAACCAACTATAACTAACTGGTACTAGTTTACTTCCTGTCACACTTGTTGCAAATAACGATAAAGAAACACTGGAAAATATTAACCCAAATATCAGTTTCTTATACCAAGGTCGAGCCTATAAATGGGATCATTAAAGATTCGTGGTACAATTAGGACGGCTGTTCTGCTGCTGACCTACGTAAACAACCATTAATGGCTTTCTATTGACGCTACTGATAATGGGCTTACAAAATCCACACGTTGAGACGGTTGTAGTTATGACATCAAAGAAATATTTACGGTACCGAAAATAATACACTTTCTATATTAAGAGGATATGTAAAAAGTACCAATAACGTGTGATATGTTTTACCCGAGTTACAGAGAGTTTTAAACAGGCCGCAAGGGAATAAAACAAATAAGGGATTTTCTACGTTAAGTATATTTGTTGTATAATGTTTTATGCTACTAAGTAACTGCTTTAACCAGACTGCATGGTAAGGATGTTATCAAACGTTACTGCTTATTTCGACCAGAAAGCCCTATTAAGTACTGATTCTTATCTTTTATAAATACATATTAGGAAAAGACTCGCCTCCCACACATAGATTAGGAAGCACCTCAACTGTTTAAATGTCAAGAAAAACGTGCGCGTGTTATCTACGACCAGTGACGGCTCAACATAAATCCCAGAGTTTAAGTTTAGTAGGTCTGGAGTGTTGTCTAATCGCAATACAGCGGCCTCCACCTTGTAACGAAATCCACCCACAAGTCCTACGGGGCAATATATATATACACTCATTTTACTCATTCACGTTGATTATGATTATCATTACATGCTATACTGGAGCCAGGAAATGGTCGATAAAAATAGATGTAAAATGAAAATGACATTAAACGAACGAAAAGGTGAAAGACATTTGTTGACTTGAAAATTAAAAGTGGCATTGTTAATATATCTGCAGGAACAAATAAACAGTTTTCAGACAGTTTGAAATTGCAGAGAAATTTAATTGTTCCGAAAAAATATTTAAGACATTTAAAACCACTACCCTCTCCCCTATTCCCGTAATTATTCTATTGTACACATTTCTTCATTCTTGTAGCTAGTGTTAAAAAGGTGGTTATTAAGCAGGTAACAAATTTACATAAGTGTCTTGTTTTTGTTTCCTTTTATGTTCTATAAAACATGTACTTCGATGTAATGTCAAACAAAATTTGAATAACACAAAGTTTAAACACAATATCGATACAAATAGTGAAAAACTCGAACAAAGATATTTATACAAGAACCTTACATGTAATATATACAATAAAGGACTAGGTAATCTGGAAGCTTAAACGTCTTATGCGCAATCAAAGACAATCGCCATGGAAATCTAGTTCGCGGAATATTTCCAAATAAGTTATTTTTAACATGTATGAATATTTGGCTGTTACACTAACAGCAAATTTGTATTTTATGTGATCAATGGCTAATTGTACACATTTATAGTTGCAGATAGTGTTAGACATGCGTGTAGAATCTGCATCAATTAAGCTCCAGGAACTTACAATTCGAAGTATTCATTTTTAAACAGAATAAAAGGTACAAATAGTAATTGCGTTAAAAGGCAAACACGACTCAACTGTTGTTTTCCCTATGTGTTTCTAACAAGTAAAGAACCGAATACCACCTTAATGTACATTGTTCTCATACATTCAGCCCTGACGTGATCTCACAACTTATTACTCAACGCACGTGTAGCATTGACATATCAGCTATCAAAATGAGGTGTCATAAATTTTCCTGCAGCAAACCACATTAGATCCGGATCACTTTTACATATTTTAATGGATAATCAAACACAGATTTCTTGAAATAAAAGTACGTTTGTTTTCACATAAACAGCGCTTATTTTAAAGGTTAGTCAATACTTTAAAATAATATTGTGAATTACTATTTTCGCGTTTGAGGATCACGACTTTCTAGTTCAGAATTAATGTAATTTGACAAAACCTTAGCTGGTATATAAAGCACTCAAATATAAATTATCAAATGGCTACCAATTTCATGACATCGCGTCGTTGTTGTCCCATTGTGGCGTCACACACGTATTTTAGAAATTTCTTACATCTCTTTCATATATTGGAAAGTTCTTGCATTCATGGAAATATCGCGAAAAAACATGTGTTCTGCAATAAATGAGAAATTGTTTTACGTTTTGATAAATATAGTTTTATTTCATTTTCATATAAAATCTGCAATAAGGAGAAAAACTGACGACATTAAAACAAGTCACTTGATGTAAAGATTGAAACTGCATATGGGAAAGCGTATATACATTGACTATATTTTATTTGCCTCCATATTGGTCTTTAGAACGAAACTAATTTAATTATAAATATTTGTCTTTTCATAATATTTCTCTATACATAAGCAAGAATTGTTTATTCACAATTAAATATATGAAAATGCAACAATTTATTTATAGAATAATTTAAGACAACTACCTATTCACGCATGTACCATTATCATCTATTTCTCTGCTCGGCTAATCTACAGAAAACACAAGCGCATTATTTGAAATACACACAAATGTAATCATGTTTTGTAAGCAGTAATACGATAGCTTGAACTCGTGTTTTCTTAATTAATCTAGTAATCTGAATAACAAAATTCAATTTGTTAGAAGGAGTTTAATTGTTTTCATCACTGATAAAATTATTATTCATTGCCTCCTGATGTTTCATGTAACAGGCCTAATGCATTAGGTGTTACTGTTAACCACAAATTTGGGACTCGCTAATATGCTGTGGCTTTTTGGTCCAAATTTATACAGCGTGGATTAATGAGAAATATCAGATTCATGAACAGATAAAGTACTGGGCGATATTTAGTGTGGAGACACAAGGTAATCAATTTTCCCAAATACCAAAAGATGAGAGATTCGCACTACAGATTTACAATCAAGAAAATCGTCAGTAGGATGACAGGATTGTCATAGTCGGAAGTGACAAATCCTCGTTTGGCGGACGTCGGGCTTAACACTGCTGATACTCCATTTACCCCAGACATCCACGACCGCACTAAGCTTGGATCTCTCGTGTCACTGTCCAGGCAAACTCACTCAGTCTGTCCTAGGTATTGAACAGGTCAAACATAACTAGATGTGAGCACTCCAGCATATAATCAGTGAGCGATGTATAATAGTTCATATATAAACTAACGTGTTGGTCTATTCCTTAACCAATAACAACCTGTACAGTTCGGTCATTGCTGAACCAAAACTTGCAAACACTGGCAACTTTATTGTAAATTAAGGACGTAGACAGTCTACAGTTGTCTTGTTTAGCAAAGAAAAAACAAACATACAATATTTTGGTGCTGCTTTACATGGAGTTGTCAATCTCTTGAGAAGCGTCATGTCAGCACGAAATACTGTTGGACATGGTTCCATCAAAATGTGTCGTCGGGTTCAAAGCAAAATACCAGGAATGCTTTAAGAATTTGCTATGTGACATATTAAGGTCTTCAAGTTTAACCAAATATGGGATTCATCAAAATTCGAGAGCGTTATATTTAACAACATAACCTTCACATTCGTAAGATGGCATTTGGCTGACGATGACATGCAATGACAAATAAAAAGACAAATTCATTAGTATTGTTACACCATTGGACTATGACGTTTCCATGGACACATACTTACTGTTTCAAATATGGTTGCGCCCTCACTCATGCCAGTGGTACCGATAGTGGACCTCCCTCCAGCCTGGGCCACGAACTGATCGACATACAGTATCAGGCGTACAATCGTCTGCACGCTGATGGATACGAACAGGTTTCGATGAATTCTTGTTCGATGACATCTAAGACTCCTGCAAGATTTCATCATGTTTAAATGTGTGTTATTTCTTCATACGCAGCAGCATTGACAGTTGTATATCATGTGTTATAGCGACTCTCGAAGAAATGTTTCATTATCATTATTATTGAACTCTTAACGCACACAGAAACGGTCATTAGGGCCATTAAAAGTAGATAAAACATGTTAAAGAAAACTACATCAAACAAACGAAAGGCTGCAGACGAAAGTTAACTTAAAAGTGCTTATGGTTAGTAATATCTTGTGAACAGACTAACTGTTTAAGGTACGTTACTGAAGAGATATTTACTGTTCCGAAAAAAGATATGACATATTTTATAAAATTATAAAAAAATCTCTTTATGGCTGAAAGTTAACGCAGTCTAATTTTCGAATGTTTGACTGTAAATGGTTCGTGACATGCTATGCATTGAGGCTGATCATCGCTTTTCAATAACTAAGAATTGGTAATGTATGAGTAAACCATCCGGAAACAGGCCAACACAATCTCTTCCCGTCGGTTTTTTCTCTATATATTTTGGATACCACTTACCGAATTTAGGTTTAATGAAATGTTAGTTTTTGTTTACGCTTTTATTCCAATTATTTTGCCACTTTGACCTTATAAATGAACGATCTAAAATCCGAAAAATGAAGATCGAAATCAACAGGTCAATAGGAATTAAGTCGCCTTGCCGGCGGATCTACCTTTTAATTACCTGGTATTCCAACTTGTCCGAGAACCAAGCATTGTTTATTATTACCAAATAGTCTATATAAATTATGATCAGTCATTTTTGACTGTTTCTGGATTTTTGTCCAATTTCGGCTGTAGGGGTGAAACAGTCAAAGCGAAATCAGAGCGAAATGATACCCCGCGCGAGTTCGATGCGCAGAAATCCCCCTCGGGAGCCTCATTTAAGCTTTTCGGTGACCCCGACTCAATGTTAATTAATCAGCAAAACCTTTTAAACTGTTATTTACTCTTTCGTTATTTTTAAACAAATATTCATCATTACATGCAGCATTGATACTTGTGCCTAACGGTCTCCGGCAAACAGTTCCCCAGGGCTTCCCCCTGCCTCGGGATGGTAGTTTTGACTGTTCCCCAAATAGCCATGAAACAATTGTATACTGTGACATTTTGAGAAGTAATCTTATGTAATAGTATATTATTTTTCTAATTGAGATGGTCTTCAAGTTTTGTTGTGAAGGTTCTGTAAAACAGATAAAAAATCAGAATAGATGATACAAATTTGATTAAATGTGTTCAGGGGCAAGATAGATAGCATTTGATTGTGCAGAAAATAATATTGATGCATGATTTGGAAGCCAGAATCTAATAGTTGCATCTGTTGCATCCATGGCTGCGGTGACAGAACGATCATCGTTGGAACCATCAGTATACAATGATTGAGAGGCCCTATATTTCAACTGCAATTTCGAAAGGTGAACAAAAAACGTTAGGATTTATTGCCAGCTTTTGCTATTTCACGGAGTGAAAGCCAACCGAGGACGAAATCAAAAGACATGGGGGACCACCAATTGCTTCAAATGATCGGATAACGTCAACATTAATTTTGAAGTTTTCAAAGAGGGATGAAAACGGGCGAACAATTTGGTGTTCGCGCGTTTTCATCCCTCTTTGAAACAGTTTGTTCGGTTTGATCTTTTTCCATCCAATTTAGATTTAATGTGCTGGATTTTATGGATTCGATTTTAATTGAATTAAATACTGCAAAGACAGTTACTCCCGACGACTGCATAACGAGCGTTTGTTTGCTGCCCTGCAGAGACTAGAAACTGGTGTTTTGTTTAAAGCTTCAAGTGCAAGTCTTAGACTAGGTAATGTACGGAAACCAATCATTTAAGATACGACTCTCTTGCGGATCCATAAACAATGGATACAACATTATCTAGAATATATTTTATATGTTCTCTATAGAGTTTTAGTAATATCTTCCTATCAGCGCCCCAGTCAGTGTGGGACACTGCCTTTGAAATGTTAGGTGAGTTAATACAGTTGACTTAAGGTACTTGATATGAAGGAGGAACGATACTTTTCTATCATATTTATAACGCCCAGAAATTAAGTTGGGTCTACTACAGGAATATATTTCCCATCAAGTTTGAGAAGTGGATCGATCTTGGATTTACGTAATTTAAAACAAATGCACGCAAACCGCTTTGAATTTAAAACAAATAAAACTGTTTCTTAAGCCCAGATCTAAAGCTTATTTAATGATTGCTGTATTTGTCAGTCGATGGCATTCGTTTGTTTTGACTGGTAGGATATGAAACAGGAGTACCGCGGGGCAGAACAATGTACACCCGTCGAATGCCATATAGTGTTATCTATTTTCTTACATTGAAATAAGATCTGCATCATTTTAAGAGGTGTAAGCTGACATGATATAACAAATGTAGAAGAAAATCTCCGGACAAAAATTCAAATACTTAAATAAACAAAGGGCAATAACTTTTGCAAAATTAACACAATAACATATCATAATCATTTAGCCTACTCAGTTTCAAAGAAATCCGTCAAAAAATGTAGGAGGAAATCTCCGGACAAAAAATCAAATACTGAAATGAACAAAAGGCAATTACTTTTGGAAAAATTGTCATATCAAAATTCTTTTAGAGTAGACACAACTTCATATCATGATTTCAAAGATATCCGTTGAACAATGTAGGAGAAGATTGCCGGACAAACAAAAGTTTACGCTTGAAGGACAACCCCTTACCATAATACTTCCGTCAAATTTGACGGGCGTATAAAAAGTCTTCCATGCAATGGAACCTTCTATAGATTGAGACAATGCTTTGACAATATTACTTCTTTTCAGACCGAAAATGTATACAGAAATGATGCTTCCCTATGAGACGCCCATTTCCTGCTCGTAGGCGTTACAAAATGTTGTTCCATTCCGTAATTGAAATACCCTGTCTTATAGGAAGTATGAAATAAAATCCTTAAACCTGTTTCATGCAAATCTTTCACGATTCCGTATTCTTGCGTTGTGTCGATTTCCTTTTACAGATCATGATTTTATTATGAAAACGTTATCAGCTTTTATTTGATCATTCGTTCGAGAGAGTTACAAATACAACTTATGGGCAGTAATTAGAAGAATCAGTGCTGTAGTTGAAGCTGTTTTTTCATTCATGCACTAGGGACTTTGACAGATTTATACAGGTCATTAACATTTTCTCTAAGTATTTTGAATGATTGATTCAGATAGATATTTTAGAGATTATCGCGTATATTATCGGGTCCGGTTGTAGAATTTTGCTAGTTTTACAACGATCCCCGGAGTTCTAGTAGTAAATCGGTTGATTGGAACCGTTTCATAACTCAAACAATAACACTTAAATGTATGTTGTTATTAAACCACAGTCAATATAACCGGTCTTTTTTTTGTAGTTTAACGCCATAGCAACCGCCCGTTGCCTGGTTATATTTTTACAAATTTTATGGCGAGTATTAAACGCACAACAATATGAATTGTCTGTAGAAATAATATGTATATGTAATAATATGAATACGTATCTCCTATTTTCATTTCGGAGTTTTATGACCAAAATACTTAAGTATTTCATGATAAGTTCTTAAAAACAAAACATCGTATTCCTTCAAAAAAGGGTCGAACTATTTCACAATGTTTCAATATCAAAAAAAATTTCGGGATCTAACAATGAACTTCCCATAAAAGCATTCATTGCATGAAAGATATAAAATAATGTTAAAAAAACCCAAAATAAATTGTGAGTGTCAACGCGCATACTGCATCACAGCTGAAATCTTTTCGAATAGCAAGCGCCTAGCATGCTATTTAACCTAATATGTTGCCAAACAACACGACTGTGTTTTAAAAGCAAGTTTGTGCAAGATTACTCAACGCAGCCACTTGTCGCTGCTTACTTACAGTCCTCAGAATGGAGATTTGATCGTAAAAAAGGGGCAATGATAGTAATTCATAAAAACGTACCCTTGGTATGAAGTAAATATTTATTGAATTCATTACAACAAGAAAAAACGTGCTAATAAATACAACTATACAAAATTAACAGAATGTTGTCTTTAAAAAGTCTTTAGCGTTGTCCTTGTCATTTATTAGATGTAAATAATCCAATTATGCCTTTCGTAACTCCTCTTTAAATTTATTTGAATTTTGTTTTTATTTCATATATATATTTGTAGTTATAGGGTCTTTGCAACCAGCCAATATATTTCTCAACTCCCTGGGGAGCATACAACCAGTGCTGCTATTTCGGCGTTCATAACTAGCATTCAACAACCACGTAATCATTTACAGCTGAGTAGACTGGAACACGCAGAGTAAAGTATCTTGCTCAAGGATACCACAGATTGCAACGGTTGAAGGGGTATGTGAATCAGAATTTGTTTTGTTTGAGTTGTACGTCATCGCAACACTAAATTTCGTTAACAGTGTCCATCGATGACGGAATCTTTAAGAATCAGTTCATAGTGTCATTATAGTCTGGACATCCGGAAAAGTGGCTGCAATACAGTGTCTTAAAACCTAATTAAGATATTGTACAATGCGTTGACAGCCAATGTATCTTACAGGAAATGTGAAGGTTCTGACAGTAAAGTGATCAAATGCCTTATAACCTAACTGGGATTAACAATTGTTCAATACACAGTTTCTTACATCTTACCTAGAATAACGGAAAATAATGTTATAAAGTATCATAAAACTTACCTAAAATAACTAAAGATGAAGAGCGATATTAACGAAGACACGAGCGACACCCACAGACCAACTATCTCCATTGTCCTTGTACCCACCACAATGTCCTTGATCATCTGTAGAGAAAGCGGGCACAGAAAAAACATTTAATTAATTCTTTATTGATAAAATACAAAAAGAAAGTTCTGAAATGACACAGAATGCACTACAGTGTCCACATAAAGGACCAAAGATGCGATAATGCCAATGCTTAATGGCAAAGTCGCATCAGTAATTAAAGAGCAAACAACTAGAGCGGCAAACATACCAATGTTAGATCTAATTCAGTTTAATTTTTGTATTTTTTGAGAAATGCTCAAATTACTCAATCCATTCCTTTAACACCCATGATAACCGGAAAATAATGAATACCCCTATTCGTCCGTTGTAAAAAATCCATCTTGGTATTAGTTGCGATTGCAGCAAATATTGGTTTCCTCGCAACAGTAATTTTGTTAAAATATAATTATCGGTTCACTAGGTATTTGATGATGACATGGGGGATGCAATTAATAACACAAAAAAATACTTGTTTTAAGACAATCAAGGATGAGTGTCAATTTGGTATATTACTTTATTAGTACATTATCCAACGGTATTTTAGTCAATACTATGATATCTTCTTATCAACAATAATAATGCCTTCCGAGAAGTGAAGTAATAAGTGCCTACCATTTAATTGTCTGCAGTATTAACAGTTACTTTTACTGACAGCCTTACGACACTTGTCGAAACGTCATTCTCGTTGTTCTACGAAAGTTATTAAAGGCGTGGACGTATACATACTGTGTAGTATCGTGCAAGTTATTTTTCCGATTTGTGTCAGTGTGATCTCCCTAACATTGTTTCATAACGACCGCAACATTTCAGTGAGTTGTTTGAAGTGTACCTTGATTAAGTGTCATGTAAGAATGATAACCCTCCTTGTACTGCTATCTACTCACGATACCGAGCTATTCTGAAAGGTGTACGCGAATATATTTCAAAGTTAGATATACATATATAGGTCGACAGTGTTTGGTCTGGAATTGCTATTACTATTATTTAAAAGCATACCCACCTGTCTCTGAGCTGATGACTTGTTTGCGTAAAACTTTTTCCAAATGTCGTACGCCTCCGGCGTGTAGCAGTTGGTATAATTGGTATAACCCTTTGGGTTTGAGAAATCTCCAGGAAATTTCCCTTCCCATCGTCCCTCTGCCCCGCATCTCCGAAAACCGTGCTCTAAAATATAAGTAGGTACGTGTTCATAATTAGTAAATTTGGCATAAAAGTCAATATATAAAAAGTGCATATTTCCGATATTTTGCGAAATGAGGACAAATATACTGTTTTGTCATAATATGATAGTAAATAAAATAAAATAAAATCTAAATGATTTTTTTTTTATTTATTAGAACAATATTTATCACTTATAAAATGCCGGAGAGTTATCAGTTCGGTTATGATAAATCATAACGCTGTATTACAAATGTTTAGTTTGGATATTTAAGGACGAGGTAGGTTTTGGTGGTGGAGGAAAACCGGAGTTGTTGCGAAGATGATTTTCTCATAGCAATTGTCAGACAGAGATCAATATTCGAATATCAAACCCTGTGTAATAGCTGTTAATCTTCTTTTCGCTACAAAGTACGGCTTACAAATCATAAAAAGTCAGCGTCTTCGCTGACGGCATATTTGAACCAGCTTGTGATTATATGTACCAGATCCTTTGTCACCGTCAAGTGTAAACAATTTTTGTGTAGAGTAATACTTTTTACCGATACACTGTTGGAGAATATGCTACCGCAATCAGATGCAAAATTAGTAAATGTATGCTTGATATAAAGTGGTACTTTCCTAAAATACATTGAAATAATTCGGTGAACTTAAATCGATTTCATTTCGACGGCGTTGTTCCTGATACGCTGGACTTTCAAATTGGTAATGGTGATCAACCTCAGCAAATTGGCGACATCTAGCACGCACAAATATTCTAATTTGAGTAAATTAATTTAAAAAAAATAGAATTCGTTCTCATGTTGTTCTCAACTTCTCATACGTCCCCACACTGACAGTCAATGCTAATGGATTTGTCATACTACTGGCACATATATGTTCAACGCGAAACACAGTTACACCCGGAATAACACGCCTGGCAAGTCCGGCAAATGACGTCAGCGTCGTGGTGTCTGTTAAATGTATTATGTTTGAATTATTGTAAGATATATTTAGTGATATAATACAGTATTTGGATATTAAATAAAATTATTGTGTTTTGTGTTTTAGATGAATTTAATGTTCAGAGTTCATCACCCCTATAAAATTAACATAAATGTATTCAAGCGTGCCTGTCCTGGACGTCAATCATATGGACACGTGTTCAGCACTCGGCTGCACCAACAACACCGTTGTATATGTATATTTTAATTTTGATAAAACTATTACAAATGTTACATATTCCCTGTGGCATTATTAGGATAAAAAGTACTAATACTTCAAGATTTTAAAGATGCCCTTTAAATGTTCCGACACAGCCCGAATATTATCTTTATATATGGGCTAATGATTTGCATGCTATGGGATACAGCAAGCAACTGTGTTTGTCAACTATATCTCTTTAACAAAAGACAAGGAAGAAACAACCCTCGATTCTACAAGGGAGACCCACAATATTTGCCTTTTGCATCCAACGGGATATTGTAGGCCTACTCTTGTCCATATCTGCACTTGTAAAAAATCTACGATTCAAATCTTTCACCTTTCAATGTGTTTTTATTTATATAATAATTATAATATGTGTAACCCCTAATAGAAAAGATCTCATTTGGAACACATGCTATGCACAGTTATTAACATACATTAAAAGATAAACGATTGAATAAAAATGTTGTATGACTTGCAACCAATTAAAGAGTTAATGAAAAATGAGAAAGTTGAACCTAATATATATGTCATTTGTTTTTGTTTTATTTTGTTTAACGTCCTATTAACAGATAAGGTCATTTTGCCATTTGTTTGTTTGTTACAAGTTTGAGTCCTTACAAAAAACTAAGGTCATGTTGTATGAATGCACCGTTGGTGGAGGAGGTTCTTAATTAGGCTGCCTTGCAGTGAAACCACACTGGGAAAGCTACATCTTGATACGGTAATGTCAAAAAACAATCCCGCTGAGTAACGTCGATCAGACATCGGGCCTACATCTCCGGTTTACAAACAATTCAAAGCTGAACGTCAAACAGTTCCGTTTGCTTGTGGTATTTGTTTCACAGTCCACATTAACAACTATAGTCATTTAAGGAAAGGCATCCACACGTGTAATGTATGTGTGTACCTGAATTGAAAAAAAGATGGAAGCAGTGAGCATCTCTTTCAGGGTCTTTGTTGGTTACGAACTCTTCACCTCCCTCGCTTGCGATATAGTCAAACCGAAGTTAAAAGTGAGGCGTGTTTTGGTTTGTTTTGCATTGATTTTGAAAGGCGAGGGTTCTCTTTTAATTACTGTTGTATTAAAAGTACAAGTTACAAAAGAAGTTCATTTATTCTGCAAGGAGATCCCACCTAATTAGTTACCTCTTTTGAACACGGAGTGGGTAATAGTGGGCATATTATTTTCCTTTGCCTAGTTACGCAGAGGTTGATTTTGATAGTTAATACAGATTCATGTATCCTGTTAAAGAACTGTCGGATACCTAAACTACTCAACTGTTAAAATCCCACACAAAAACCAAAGCATCACGAAATTGCACTTGCTCAAGAAAACAAAACTAGCACGTTAGAGTAGTTGAACGTCAGTCAAGGAAATGGAGTACATTATTAACGTTGAACTATCTTTAGGCACATACGCAATCTTCGTACCAAGCTCAGGAAAGGCACATAGGAAAAAAATATTCCCGAGATGTCACATTTGATGTATCAAATGTCCACCAAACAAATCTAATAAAAGCAATAAAAAAGCAAAGAATAATAATACTTTTACTTCAATATTCAATTTACTCATTTGTTCAGACGACAGATGTTCAAGGAAACATTTTTGTATGTACTTTTCGATACCTTACTACATGATAATGATTTAAAAATGAACGATAGGTTAATCATCTGTTACATTACATTCATTAAAGTGACGACCAGACCGCATAGTAATAGACGGTGCAGACTGCATTGGGAATACAGTCTACATTGCTATCACTGCTGTCTACGTTTTACCATTACGTGAGCTTGCGATATTTTATCTATGCTAGCAAGTACGCAACTAAATCAGACTGATTGAATTAAATTGTGACAATGACATTTTAAGTTTGATTGCCTAAATGATTTGCTTTCAATATGATGAAACATGTCCATTACACTATCTCTGAGATACTTGGACACTTAAATGAAAACATCCGCCAGTAGTTAATTTTATACAGCGATTCCAAATGATGCCTACGATATAGGACTATCACTGTATGCACATGGTTTTACGTGAATCATTACTAAAAACATAGTAATTAAATCATCATTCCTGCATCAATGTTGAACATCTTTCCCACACAAAATGATTTTTCTATCTGAACAGGATAGGCTAAAGACGAAACAAATATATGGTTGAAAATAATATATTTTTTGAATTTTGTAGCAGTTTTTTCCACCAGACATTTTCATTGGAAACAAGAGATCCAAACAGTATTTTGGCGCCCACCATCGTAAGGTCTTTATTGGTTCCATGTCAGTTTGACATTTCCCTTCATTTCTCCTCTCTTTCCCCTACATATACATGTTGGTTCTTTTGTCTTGTCAACAATAAAGGAATCTTGTGGTAATTTGTGTTCAAATTTCATATCGCAGGGTTTGCAAATTTTCTTTCCAGGCAAGGTCATGATAGTTTTTCTTGAAAAAAGCGATAATAAACTTTAAATGTCAACATCCACAATGGCTTACTAGCGGCCATTATTTTGATGTATTTTATTTATATTTTGTTAGATCAGTCACAAAATAACAAGAAGCGCAACAAGGGAACAACGAGAACCTACATTTGAAATAGGAGATGATCATTTAAATACATAACTTTTCTACTAACGTTGATTACACAATGTAAATAGGTACACCGTACTTTCCGGAACTCAAATGCAAGGACACTGAATTGCCACATGACTCAATATTTAACTACAGAATGACCAATAGGGACGTCATGCTACATAACTAATCAATGAGAGTTACGATTTCAAGTTTCCTATCTCTGACCTCGCTTATCTTGATAGTAACATTCCTAGTCCGTTCGCTTACAACATGTACAGTCTCCGTATAAATAGAGGATATTTAATGGTGTCTCAGTAATAACAAATAGTTGATATTTTTGCGCGGCACCACTATATTTTCTATTTATTCCATTTTTAAAGCATAAGACATGAAAAATGTAATGCATTACAAAAGATCGGGAATCAGAAGCGTAATAGTTAGTGCCATATTTTAATGACGTCACGCTTGACAACAAGGCTGCGCGCCATTTTGAATGTAAATACTTAAGTGTGTGTACCAAACATTTACCATTACAACCACTTATTCTACCTTCACTTCATTTGGATCTGAACAAAAAATCGTTGCCTTTGAATGCAGCGAATAGAAGATACCGTTATGATTGGTCAATACCAAAAAGTGATTAGTGTGAGAAATATCACTTTTGATTTTTGTCACAGTGAAAAAGATATTAGTTTTATCAAGTTGATAGAATCCGATATTTCACTTGCAAAAATGTAATAAATCCTTCTATTCATAATCTTTCTTCGCCTCATATTGGTTCTTTTCAATTCGGATTTAGGTTTAGCCACTTAGTCGGCGCTCTCTGGTTGTTTGTATCGCTTTACAAATAACTTTCCGCAACCGAAGTGAAGGGCAGGAACAGAAAAGGTAACTTTATCTTGATATCTCTGTCATAGTTTGACGTGACAAATGTGAAAGAAGGGGATATTGATATTTTGAAAAAAATAATGCTTTTTTATCTCATGCGTTAAGATCAGCGCAAATATTTTATGAACAGTCTCATAAGGCCATCTCCGTTAATGAAATCGATATTGGCAGCTTCGGTAAAAACGTATTGCAGACAATATCATATCACTAGCTGACGTTTGCCCTATCGTAATGATAAAGTACGTTTCGTTACATTATACTGAATTCCTGGAAGTTCATAATTGAATAAGGCATATGATATGCCTTATCTACAGACAGAACGCTTGGAGAAAAACAACATTTTGCTAAAAGGAGTGATTTTAATAATATCGTTATCTAGTAAATGTTCTCAAATATCAGAAAGACCATAAACGTTTTACAAGTGCTCACATTACGAATTTTATGATAAACATTTTTTTCTACCTGATTGTACGAATGGGTATGGAACAGAACAAATCAACACGAAATTCACCCACACACGGAAACGCTATTATTAGTGACATAGAACAAAGTGGTTGGCAAACTATCTCGGGATGTTTTTTTTTTGCGAACAGCATCGTAAAGAAGACTAGACTCATAACATTTAAAACTGATTTACATCAGTATCTAGTTTGACACGATGCTTTTGTTATATTGACCAATATGACTGCTGTTATAGTTCCGTAGCGTAGGCGACTGTGTTCAATAAACATACATCATGAGCTAGCTATCTAACTACGCAGAAGGGAATAGATACACGCTTAAAATATGATAACGGGTTATTGTTTTCGGTGGTTAGGCATGTTATCCTATGACTACTTCTTTGCGTTTAGTCGTGAACATGTTGGAGTGTTGCATTTCAAAAAAAAAGAGGAAATATGGGAGGCCAACCTTTATACCATCTGATCACTCGTTATCTTTTTCTATTATTTCATCGCTAAATGCCTCTAGTGTTCTTTTTGGTTTGCGTTGTATGATATAGATTATAAATTAGGTTTTGCTATGAAATGCATATCCTTTCTAAGATATTTCCATATTGTTATTCTGACGACAATTTATAAATAAGAATTTATAGTTAATTTAGAGCAGTTTAGTCATTTTTTATTTCCATTTGATATAGAAGTAATTCGATAAATTATTTATAAGGATTAATTAGATTTAAGCGTCCTATAACAGCTGAGGCTATTCAAAATGTGCATCCTTGAATGCGTTGTATGCGTAGACTTGAGGCGGTATGTTGTTGAATTTTCATCTATGCGATAACGCTGATCTGATTTCGACTCCAGAGTATTACCTCATCAGAAAACAATGCCGAGCTACAATATTCTACAATTGGTAAATACTAATTTTAACGGCTAAGAGGTCTGTCGCGGTTAGGGGACATAACCCTTGTTTCGGGAAACGCTCAGCAACACAACTGAGTGGCACATATTTTCGAAAGAAGCGAAGAGTTGTTACAAAGAAGTTGAAATCTAGGTCGATATTTCGTCTTGTATCAAGCAAACCCCTATTTTGAAGATTTTTTTTACAACCTGATCCAGGAGAATCAGAAACTTGTTTAATGCGTAAGATAGTGTGTGTGTCAAATATCTTTTCGATGTTTTATACCTTGAAATGACATTATGAAGTATTATGACCTGATTTTCAATTGTAAAAGTACATTGTCTATCGGGACAAATTATTTTATTATTTTATTGTTCCGTTCCGATATCGATTTTTTTGTTCTGTTTTTTACGATCAATAAATATCTACTGTATTAATGCTTATTATTTCTATGTAAGACTAAACACAAGAAACACCCAGTAAACCTGACATATTGAACTTATTAAAATATATTAATACTCTACGCGTACAGTTGTTTGACCGCACACCGCAATAGCGTGCGCACATCGTGCATACATCGTTCACACACAGTCCGCTCATCGTCCTCACATGGTGCGCGCAACTGTGCGATTTAACAATCGTTCGCCCCGTTGTGCGCTTCTCGTCGCACAACTGTGCGATTTGGTACAATTGGTTGATCAATATTACGGAATGAAAAAAATCTGGAAGGCTCTTATGGAATATGGAACATTGTGAATATAAGTTTCTCGTCATATTAATTAGATTTTGTTCAATTTTACAAAGCATGTTTCACAGTATTTCAGTGACCGTTAGACTGTCAAGAACGTGTTTTGCACCCAGGTAACAGAACAGGTAAATAACATTTTGATGAGTGACCGGAGTTTTACCTGGCGCCCTCCGGATGACATAGAGAGCCATTGTATGATACCGTATGACTGTTATATAAACACAACTGGACGTTAGGTGTTTGTTATCTGCATTCGTGTTGGTCTATAGCTCCCCTTCACCTTGATTTTTACACCTCGCCGAGTTACGTAAGTGCCCCGGGTTGGGAAAACTACGGTCCAGGTACATGTATAAAGTGGCTATGATTACCTGGATATGGGACGGTGTCAATATGTGTTATAATTTTACACTTGTAGATTTAGGTCGTTTAAAAACACCGAAACACCATTTCTGAATTTAAGAAATATAGAAATATCAGCTTATATATGTAGCTAGAATATAGACGCATACTTCAAAAATCAAGTTTTTATGTTCAAACAAGAAATCGTATAATATTGTTAAGCCATTCCTGAATTTATCCCCAACCACTACTGTCATCGCACAACGTTCGTCCATCGTCCGTCCAAGCAACAATCGTCCACATTTTCATCGTTCGCACATCGTGCAATCTGTGCACACACCGTGTAACGTTGTGCGTTTCCACGACTATATTTTTTCTTTGCGAGGTCAAATGTAAGCGCTCTGTCGCATTCTAACTTATAAGCTGATGGATGCATTAATGTACTCAAAATACATCTAACAAAACACAATATAGAGAGAATATAACAAGTGCAATCCTATATTTAAATAATTTATTTTAGCGCCAAAAAAACTCATCGGATTTCCGCTTAAATTTTACGTTTATAGTCAATGACATTTATAACCATAACATTTCGGATCCGTTTAATTTCCATTTTGAATAAGCCAATTTGGAAATAACACTTACTCGTAACGTCCAGTCCTGGTAATTGGGGGCACGGCAGGAATGTGACAGTTCCCACCCGAGCGGCCGGCCAACACAGAATAGTGTCCCATGTTGCATTGCAGTGGACATCTCCTGTATCAAACAGACATTAAATTATTCACCAGACCAATGGTACAAAATGTATATGTTTCTGACAATAAACAAATTGCAATATTTGTCATGCCCAGTTTATTTTGTATATATTGTTTAATAGCCCACCGACAAGCAATCATAAGCCAAACAAAACACTAAACATAGACGTTCAGAACAAAAAATATATCTAACGTAAACTAAAAGGTTGAAATATAAGAAAGATGGAAAACAAAAAAACAAATATAGTAATTGTAACCGTGGCATCAATGAAAAGCAAACGGATTCATTGTTTCAGATTAATTGAATGTAAATTATCATTTATCAAATGTCAAACACACAGCCTCAAACAAACTTTTCATTATTGTTAAAATATGGAATTAGTTGCACATCCGATCATATAATGACAGCAAATTCTTATTCACAAATATAGCAATAAGGATGATTTTCGTTTCGTAAAATGCAAACATGTGCTATGTAGGTATGGCCTATGCGTATTCGAGAGAGGACAACATCGTCTTTGCGATCTACTTGTTGCACATAAAGATACATTAGGTTACATTTGTACATTGAAAACAATTTATTCGGATTATTTATGTTGCCAATGCCGATTCGCTTCAATAAAAGTCGGGATGGAAGGTTTAAAGTCAGAGTAAGGCAGTTAAATATTTCCGGTTGTGGAATAAGTTTTAACAGCTCTATCTATTCTCTCAAATATATGTAATACCAACAACGCACGCTGCTGCTCCTTTCTCGTTGACCTTAAAACTATCGGTATATAGAAGGGTTTGGTTTTGGTTTGGTTTTATATTGTTTAACGTCCTAGCAACAGCTAAGATAATTTAAGGACGTGTCTCTATGTGTGTTGTGTAAGCGTGCATGTGGGTATGTGTGCCGGAGACAGGATATGTTGGTATATTTGCCTCATTGTGATAGCACGGAACTGATGCCGACTTTATAGTGCCATCTTACTGAAATTCGATGTTGACGGCACCCAGCACAGCACTCCGCCCGGTAACATTATACTGACAATGGGTACATCAGTTGTTACCAACTCTTGGATGAACTCAGAAAAAGAACACTTGAACTTAATAGGGATTCTAATTTTTTTTGTGTATGCATACGATGTACTGTGTATTTTTATTTTGAAGTTTTCCAGTTTCTCTGTTGTTGTCTTTCACACTCCCATAACTCACATTATTGTCTTCTGTTTTTTTCCTGTTGAAGGCTTTTGTGTCACTCCTTGCATGACTGTGGCACTCCCTGAGAGTCTGTTAAAAAGATAGTTTCTACTCCAGCTTAACGCTCAGCAATTTAGGAATGGGACGACTGGTTCGCTCATTGTCAGTATAATGTGACCGGGTGGGGTGTCTTGCTGGGTGTCTTCGGTAGTATCTTTCAGTGAGGTAGCACTATAAAGTCGGCATCAGTTCCGCGCTGTCACAAGGAGCAAAACACCAACATATCGCAGCCTCCAAAAACACACACGAATACACTACACGCATGCATCTTGCACACTATAAATTATTATAGCTGTTGATAGGACGTTAAACAATACTAAACCAATTCAAACCAAACCAAACCCTGCATGAGCTTAACCGTTGCTTGCCCGTTTAGCTACTGACTAACTTATTGCTTGAACCATCGATAATGGTTTCTGTGTAAGCCGCTAGGTGGCACGACAGTTTGCAGCACTAACCAATGTGACTACGTCATAGGAACACTCAACTTTGATGTACAAGTCAGCTATCGACGGTGAGCAAAATATGCTAAAAACATGTAGAAATAAATAACAATTGTTTGTGAACAAATTGACAAAACGGAATAAAAGAGTCATTCCCTACGGCGAGGGTATGCCACAGAAAACTCAAACATCGGGGTATGATTCTTGAATCGAAGCAGGACTCTGGTTCCCCAAATAAGACCCTGGGGTTGAGATTTCTGTCATAACCTTGCAGTAGGGAAAGGCTCTCTTAATCATGTTCGAGTGCTAATTTTGTCTGCTTGTCATGGTGCTAAATATATAAATTTGTTTGTACTGGTTATATCTATGTATTACTGTGTATTATAACCCACATTTGAAGAAAAGTTTTAGAATTAATGTAAATTGTCCGATGTGGATATCAAGCGTTTTCAATAATAACAGTTTCCAAAGGTAATACTAAGATAACAGAAGATGTATTCCGAATCAATAGACATCAATCAAAATCACGTATTACCGACGCAATCTTTATTAGACTTAATTAACAAGAAAAAAAAAGTATTTTTCCAAACTGTGTAATTGGAAATTGATATAAGAGCCGCGTCCGTTGACTTGGATGGTACCAACATCAAACCTTTATTAATTTGCTGACACGCGCGGAGTTTATGGCAGTGTTATGCCGTGGCTATTCAATAAGAACAACTCAACCAATGACATTACTCGTAAACCTACCCAAATACGCTAATATATAGTGCCATGATAGACAATGTCACCCGGAGTTTATGTCCAATGAATGCTACAAAGTCGTAAATAGGCATCGTAAATATGTTTTTTCCTATACTGACCAAAGCGGCAAAATTCTATTAACACCGTAACCGAAACATAAATAATCAGAGGGAACTGAAGGGTGATATCTGGTGATATTAACTTTCAAACGGTCCATATAGACTTTCTGCGGTTAAGCAGTGTTTGAATTCACATCGTAGAGTTTGCAATTGTTGTTTTTTCCGACATAAATATATAAACGGCCATAATATGGTAATTTTTGAGTGATAACTAAACATGATGCAATATATGACTGACATTGATTGCAAAAATCTTGTAAATACAACATTGTATTTTTTAATTTCTGTTAAATGTAATTCAGAGATATTTAAATAATATTAATAAAATGTCTTTGACAAAACGATAATGATATTTAGAATGTAAACTGTTATCACGGAAAAATCCGGTTGATGTTACACCCTACACAAGGAAGTGTGTATTACATGGAACACCGGTTAATCTAGGTCAACCTCGTTCTGCATCGTCTTGTTGGTACTATGTTTACTTCATTTAAACCTATCTGTGAAGATCACAAAGAAATAGTCAAAAACGGCATTAACAAGGATTTTTTTTTTTTTTTACACATACTGCCATTAAAACGAAAAGGTTTTCGGCTACATTGTAGAAGAAAATGATAACAAGGTGGCCTGGAATTAAGAAGCGTGTACGGGGTTTTAGGGGTCATATAAAGACAGATGCTTAAGTTCACACAGACGAACGAAAAGAATTAGATAATAGTGAGAAGAAAAAAGAGATCCCGAATGTTGCAATGGGGCAACATATCATTTTTCGTTGCTTCAATATGCTCTACAGATGGAGAAAACAATTATGCAGGAGGAAACACTATGTCGTCTCTAAAGCAATACGGTAGCAAATAGAAGGTCCATCCCCTCACCGAAAACTGCACGTAGGTGATGGTAAATGACTGTTTTTAAGTCGAACAGAGCTGTGCCTTATACGACACAGGTTCAATGAAGATGTTTCAGTGTTCTATTTATTATTTTAAGCTTCGGCAAACTTGGTGTCCATTTGTGGAAACCAAAAATAGACATTTGTACTTTTGCTTCGACAGGACCTTTTAGCCTCGCGTTCTCTGAATCAGATAAGCTGTCTTTATTTGTAAAGTGGACAATATCTTCTATAACCGGCTTACACTGGTCCACAAGGAGATTCATGTGGTAGGGTTGATTGTAACTCTGTGGTTCAAGTTATTACCCACAAGCACAAAACACACATCCATCAGTATCAGCGAGCAAGACACAGTTTGTCAAGCATTACTAGCTTTATCATAAATCTATGCCAAACCAGAATCTTTAAATTCTTTATGAAAATTAACAGCAACTTTTTATTCAAGTATTGGAATTGCAAAATATCATTTCCAGAAAATTGAAATGCTAATTTCTTTACAAATGCAGTAAAAACGAACATGGATATATGGTATCAAAAACAATTAAGCTTAAGATGCCTAAATCGAGTAGTGTAGCTGTGCAAATAGTTGATGAGGTATTACTTATAAAGACCTGTGATAAAGTCAGACGTTCTATTTGATATCTAATGCACATTTCATTACTAAATGTTATCTAGGTCAAAGACATCGAGGATGAGAAACAGTTACTAGAAACAGGAAGCAAGGAAGCACTTATTCATAAAGTTTGTTTGCCAATGAAGAAAGCCAAACAACGTAAACATTTTACTCTACAATATGGCGATTTCGTCTATTGAGGATCAACAGTGAAGCAAAAGGTCAAATCAATAAAAATCAAGTAGAAAAAGTTCCAAACAAAATTCAAAATATTTTTATATACCGGTACAAAATTTATTAATTCCGCTTACAAATGATATCTCGCAAAAATATTGTATATAATCAGTGCCAGCATCGGTAACCGATACAAACATCCGCGAAATGTATGTAGCGGATTCTAACAAAACAGTCCGTGAAGTTTATTTTTATTTTCAAAGTTGTATCAATAGGAATATCGGAACCAAATATTGAGTGACAACGCGGCATGTTGTGTAATAATTTCAGCTTTACAACCAGCGAATTCTTGGTATGTCGCTAAACAATGTACAATATACTATAAATATAACGATGTACCAGCGTCTGTTTTAGTTTTATAGGAATTACCGTCCCTTTAAGGTCACTTAAGGACGTGCCTCTATGTTTGTAATGTATACGCATGTGTGAATGTGTGCTGGTGGCAGGGAATATTTGTGTATATACCTCCTTGCGATAGCGGGGAAGTGATGTCGACTTATGAGTGGTACCTCACTGAAATATATTTCCAAAAATACCCACACAGTATTCATTCCGGTCACATTATACTGTCACCGGGTAAATTAGTTGATGTCATTATCCTTAATGCTGACCGTTAACCAAGGGATAACCACTGCCATGTGTAATTATTTTGTTATGTCAAGGCCTGGGGACAGAACCCATTGCTTATTCCGCTTCGGCAAACGTCCAACACAAAGGCCA